TTCTACTGCCAGAAAAGGGTGACTCTAAAAATTGCCCCAATTATTGCACAATTGCTGTCATCCCTCACATCAGCAAGATTCTGCTTAAAATTATACAATAATGTCTAGCACCAACTATTAAAAGGAAATTACCAGCTTTTGAAGGTATTGTGGCACCATGACCATATTGCAAATCTATGCTGGATCATAGAAAAGTCTCATGAATATCAAAAGATCATTTACATATGCTTCATTGAATACAAGAAAGCCTTTGATTGTGTTGATCAAGAGAAGCTATGGAGAACTGTACAAGACCTGGGATACCAGTACATCTGATCAAGTTGGTGCAATCACTGTACACAAATCAGGAAGTCACTGTGTGAACACCGTATGAAGATACTGATTGGTCTGATTCAGTGGTGGGTTGCCCCTGGTTTGCACCGGTTCTATAGAACCAGTAGTAAAACCAGCGGGAGGCCCCGCCCACCGACCCCGACATCACCAAAATGCTTCTGGGCGTGCGCAGAAGAGCGCACACATGCACAAGCGAAGCGAGCACGCGTGTGCATCCCCATTGCGAACCAGTAGTAAAGGTAAGTGGAACCCACCCCTGGTCTGATTATAGGGTTATTAAAAAAGGGAGAGAAAGGTGTGTGACAAGCTTGCATTCTCTCTCTTTTCTTATTCAACCTGTATGTCAAAAGGATCATGAGGAAGCTAGATATTAAAGAATTAAACACTGGGTTAAACAAACATCAGTTATCTTTGATATGATGATGATATAATTCTCATCTCAGTAATCAAAGAAGACCTGGAACATTTAATCAGAAAATCAAAGAAGAAAGTGAGAATGTTGGTCTCTTTCAGAACATCAAAAAGACCAGGATCATGACCATTGTAAGGAAAGGAAACATCAAAACAGAAATTGATTGTAAAGAAATAGAGTGTGTGGAAAAATTCGATTTCCTAGGATCGCAGATAGCTCAAAGGATTGAATGCAGTACAGAAATAAAACATCAGATTGCATTGGATTGCACAGCAACAATGAGCATGAGCCGAATATGGAAAAGCAAGGACATCAGCCTGGCAACCAAATGTAGGTCAGTTTGCTCTATTATGTTCCTCTTAGCTACCTATGGTTGTGAAAGTTGGACCTTAAAAAAGCAAGACAAGAAGAAAATCAACTCATTTTAGGTGTGGTGTAGGGGAAGGCTTTGATATCCTTTGGACATTAAATATGACTAATAAGCATGTAGTGGAGTGCATAACACCAGACAGGTCACTAAAATGCAAAATCATGAAACAGTATCTCACTTACTTTGACCACATCATGGGAGGGCAGAATTCACTGGAGAAAGGAATTACGTTTGGAAGAGTTAGCAATAAAAGGAATTCAGACCAGCAAAGAACATAGTGGCTGGACATCATCAAAGCTGACATTAGTCAGAGCACAGAAAAAAATCAAAGAAGTAGTGCAGGATCAGAAGATGTGGAGAGCCCTGGCCCATAGAACCGCCAAAAGTTGGACACAACTGAATGGATAATCAACATCATCAATTCAAGTTCTGTCCATTCGGTGCTACATAGAAATTGATGTAAAAAGAAAAAGGGATTGCATTGTCACATCATAATGCCACTTGCATTAATTTGAGCTCTCTTTCAATGTGGATGAAACAAGTTCCTCGGAAAGCCTGAGAAAACTCTTCGATCCAGCAATGATCGAAGGGGCAGCGATCAGGGGCAGCGATCAGTGCGAATCGCCATGAAGCTGGAGCATCCGGAATAAGCGTTGTGCAGGAGTGAAGATTCGGACAGAGTACTGGTACCAGGTGAGTGATTGGCCAATTCACAGGTAATAAAAGAAAAATTGAAAAATTTTACAATTACCCCAGTGTGGAAATAGCGGCTAAATAGCGACAGGGGAAGACAACTGATAGAGAAAAAATACGGAAGTGACAAGCGCTCTATAGGAGAGCCAAAATAAAGACTTAAAGTTGAATATGAATGAAAATGTTAAATTGGAATTTGGACTTTTCAGATTTGGATTGGATTATAAACAGATTGGTTGGATATAAAAGTTAAAGAAGAAGTGGGAAAACTTTCCTTTTCTCCTTTTTGAATTACAAACAAAATGGATACTTTTTAACCGGTTGAGTGGAATTGTGGATTGTAGAGAGACATCTCCAGGAGAAATAAGAGTATGACATTAAACTTTTTGTTTTGAGGGAAAACTTTGAAGCAGTGAAAAAAACAAAACACCTTGAACTTTCAAAATGATAAACTGTGAGAACTAAGGAGGATTTGTGTGTCTATAAGCAGTTAGACTTTGATGATTTAAAAAGGAGGATTATAATGTGGATTTAAATTGGAACAATATCAACCCAGAAAGAATAAAATGGCGTAAGAATTTAAGGAAATGATGAAGATGATGTGCTTGGAAATAAAGGAAATGATTACAATCTTGCATGGAAAATCGAAACGTGATGAATCTAAGACTGAGCTAGAATCAGTGGTGAAATCTAAAATTTGTTACTACCAGTTCTGTGGGTGTGGCTTGGTTGCAGGGGGGAGGTAATGTCACTTGGTGGGTGTGGCCAATTTTTTTTTTTTACTTTTAAAACCATTTTTTCTACAACCTCTTCGGCGATCAGGCAACTCAGCTTGGATTGTCAGAGATTGTAGAAAAAATGCTTTTAAAAGCCTCTGGCGATCCCAGCTGAGCCGCGCGATCATCAGAGGCTTTTTTTTTAACTTTTAAAAGCATTTTTAAGGCCAAAGAGGTTGTAGAAAAAATGCTTTTAAAAATTAAAGAAAAAAAGCCTCTGATGATTGCGTGGCTCAGCTGGGCATGGGGGGGCAGGGATTTTTGCTACCAGTTCTCCGAACCACCTGCCTCCATCGTTACTGGATCAGGCAATCTGGTCCAAACTGGGAGCATTTCACCCCTGGCTAGAATACATGGAAGCTGAAAAGGAACTAACCAATGAAAAACAGGAAAGAGAGATTGATAACGAAGAAGACGACAAAGACAAAGAGACTGACTATGGAAAATTAAACAATGAAATAGGTTGTAATAATAAAAGGGAGAACCTTAAAGATTAGAGTGGGACTAATAATGGGGAATATAGAAAAATGGAAAGAAACAAGGAAGGAAAAGAGGGTCGAATAGAAAAAATATAAAAAGATTAAATGATTACACTGGGATTTACAGTGGAAGTACAAGAAAGAGGGAAAAGAGATGGAAAATAATGGGAAACAAAGGGCAAAAGAAAAGATTTTATGACTTTAAAATACAAAACAAGTATACTGGGATTAACAATGGAAATATAAGAAAAAGGAAAGAGAGAGGAGAAATAATGGGAAATATAGGGCAGAATAGGAGAGCTCAGAATCCTAAAACACAAAAGAAAGGAAGAGGAAGGAAAAAGAAAAAAAAATAGAAGAGGAGAAAGGAAGAAAGGGAAAAAGAAATGAAAGGGGGAATAAATTTAGAATTGAAAGATTTAACAGATAAAATGAATGTTAGAAAAAAGATAAAATAGTGATACCAATTAAATGACTTAAAATGATGGGAAATTATAGAGATGTATGAAGTAAATGAAATAAGATTTATGTTTGATGTTTTATGTTTTAAATATGCTCTATTGAAAATTTGAGAAATTGCAAGAATTGTCATACTTTTAATTGCAGTGTTGGAGGTTTATAAAATGATAAGTTGTAATAATATGATTAAATTTAATTGGAGGAAGTGTAATAAATTGGAATATTTTAAACTATATATTTGAAATGTAATCAAAAAAGGGAAAGAAGGCAAATTAAGATTAAATAAGAACTAATTAGGTCAGGGGCAATTAGAAATGATTAAGATGTGAATTATAAATATATATTGTTAACAAGATAAGAAGAATTTTGAGAAAGAAATTTAATAAATGAAAGAAAGGTCGGGGTTGCCTGGACACCATAGTGAAAATATTAACTTGAAAATCTATACAGCAATAGAGAGAGATGGAAGAAGAAGTAGAGAGATGGAAGAGAAGGGAAGTAGAGAGAGGGATAGAAGAGAAGGGAGGAAGGAAGGGAGGGGAAATCAGAGTAGGAGAGAGGGTTAGTCAGGGAGGAAAAAAGGAGGAGAAGGAGAAAGAAAGGGGAAGTAGTAAGGAGCAGGAGAAGAGGGAAAGAAAGTAAGAAGGAAGGAAGAGAGGAAGAGGGAAAAGACTGAGAAGAAAGATTGCTGTATAACAGAAAAGAGGAAATGGAAGAAAGGCAACCCCGAGCACACATATGAATATATGAAGCTAAAGAAGAAATTATTTAAAAAATAAAAGAGAATAAATGTGAACAAACAGGAAAATTAGAATTTGAGAGCGAATGAAGATGCTGTTTATATAAATAAATATAGAAATATTGAGACATGAATTAAAGAAAAAATAGGGGGGAAAGGAAGATTTTGGCAAAAATTGTAATTGAGTAAACTGTATTTGAACTTGAAAAATTGTATAAGATAAGATATGGCCAATACTCTGTTCAAAAAAAGATGCAGGTGAATGTGGGGGGGGGGGGGGAATCAATAAAACTTGATTTAAAAAAATGTGGATGAAACGATAACCTTAATCTAGCCCATTGAAAATAGCCCCAATATATACATTTGTGCTTACTCCAGGGTACATAAATGGTTGAAAGCCAACCACAGAGCACTTGATCAAAACAACTCGGAATCTGCTCTCAAATTGACTCGGTAGAGGAAATTGAAATTGTTACAAAACTCTCTGTGATTAATGACAGATTTAAGTCCTAATAGAAGGAAATAGATTAAAGATACCAGAATAAGTCTTAATTAAAGGACATCAGACTGGAAAAAAATACCTGATCTTGTCCACACTATTCTTCTCTTTCTCATATTTTTTAACTTGTCACTTCATGACATTGAAAACACTTTTTCCTCATCGCCTGATGTGTATTAAAATAGTGAATCTAGCAGACCTCAGAAATGTCACCATACTAATAATTTATCTCCAAAATACCTGTCTTTTCAGGATTGTGCATTCCATTAGGAATTCTGTTTGCTTTGAGATAATAGCCATCACTTGTCAGGATTTCATACTCTTCACTAGGGTATCCCCAATATTGAATGATTTCACTCTGCAAAAAAATAAATCAACAACACCTTGAAAAAGCTAAATAGTATTCCGGAGCATTACTACTCTAACCATTCATAATATGATAAATATTTTTTAAATAACTGGTCACTATCTAAGTATTTTCTGTTTGTTTTTTTACTAGATGAAGCTGCTCCTTCTCTTCCCTGTCCCATTCTTTCCCACTATGTGGGAATAGGAAGGTACAATCTAATGTTTTTCAAACTTGGCAACTTGTAAATGTATGATCCTTCCCATGCTGGCTGGGGAATTCTGGGAGCTGAAGTCCACATATCTTAAATACTGGTATAATTTTTTTCCCTTTGTGCACAGTGAGATGTCCCTGAACTAGAAGTTAACGCCAAGCCAGCTACATATTTTTTATACTCCAAAGTAGTTGTGTCCTGTCGATCCAAACAGAATGTGTTTGGATAGACAGGGTAGACTATTCTATTTTCACAAACAGAATTGTGAAAGAAATACAATTTACAATGGGTGTTTCAGCAATATTGTCATAATGATGATGCCTTTTTAACATGGTCAGTATGAGATACTTATCAAGCATCATGGTAGCCTAGTGGAGAAGACGTTCACTTCCCTACTCAGAAGGTTGAAAGATCAATCCGAGGTAGTAGCAGATGTTTAGAAAAAATATCTGCTGTGAATTCCGTATGGAATTTCACATGGAAGAGCATCCAGACAATAAACACTCAGCTCCAAACAGTCTCCCTGACTCCACCCTGAATTAAGGGATTACATTCATATGGTGAGGAGCCTATAACATGTCAATTTTGGATTAAACGGTTTCAAAAGCAATAATAGATTAGATGCAAGGTATCATTAATTGTGTATCTTACAAAAGAGCCAGTTTGGTGTAGTGTTTAAGGTATGTGAGGGCCATAAAAAAGGCGGGGTTTTTAGTGTGAGTTACTCAATCTGGAAATGAAAGTTGAATAAAACATTTCAGAACTGTCTCCCGGAATAACCAAAACATTCAGGAACTTTAGTCAATTAAACCCTTTTTCTTGATCATCTGGCTGAATAAAACATGAGATCCTTTCCCCTTTACCACCACCTAGATGAGCCATTTACAATGTTCATCAAATGTTCAGGATTCAAATATCTTCCATTTATAGATTTTTCTGAGGTCACCGCTTGTTGGATTAAACATATCACCACCCAAACCAGCCACATTGTGGATCTCTGCAAAGCAAAAACATACAGATCAGTCGTAAAGCTTTGTCAGTATAAGCCTTTTTCAATGCAAGCCTTCTATCTATCAACTAATAGAACAGAAAAATCAAACTTCCATCTTAATTGGCTTTGATCTTTGCATAAGATACAAAGAAACCATCATAGGGCTTATAAAAATAACATCTGTGATCCAAACCAGCAAATTAAGATTGTAATGCCATTTGTATATTGTATTTTATGTAGCTAAGACATGCATAACAGCTTTTTAGGGACCAATAGTAGAGAAGTGTTCTTCACAGTCATAGGGAGACAAATATAACGAATAATGTAAATAAATTCCAATCAAGAATATCTGTATTTCAATATCTGTATTTAAGTATTAAATAGAACTGAAAGGCTGATCAGGCGACTGTGATGGTCTTACAATCTTGCTTTCCCTTTAGTCATTGAGCAAATCACTATGGTTTTAAAACAAAGCATTATGTGAGCGTGACATACAATTTTACTTCCGCATTCGTTGTCTATTAACTCTACTTGGCATAAACCAGTTACGAAACTCATGGTCATGGAACAGCCACAATGCCACTGTGATACTCATAAATGCACTCTACAAGGATTGGTTGCAAAGCTATTTTCTTTTTACAGTGTTGTAGCTTTAATTGCTAAACAAAGTAGTAGGTAAGTGGGACTACTTGTCTGTTAATTCAGTGTTACATTTCTGGGCTAATCCTACTGTCCTAGCAAAATAATCCAATAAAATGCAAAGAGTCCTAATAATGTTTTATTACTCTAAAGCTTGGAGCAGTGGTGGGTTGCCCCCGGTTTGGACCGGTTTGCAAGAACCGGTAATAAAACCGGCGGGAAGCCCTGCCCACCGCCCCAGATGTCGTCATCAGCAACCTGCACATGCGCAGATCCCGTTGCGAACCGGTGGTAAAGGTAAGTACAACCCACCCCTGGCTTGGAGGTTACAAATCACTGCTATCTTTCACTCAAAAGTGCCAGGATTTAGAGCTGTGAGTTTACATAGAACTTACATAACATATTGATTGTATGTAATGTATTGTTACAGACAGTTCGAGCATATGCATATACTAGCAGCAGATTCCCAATAGAGAAACAATTGTTGATAAAGACACAAGGTGGTCACAAAGAGGGACAGTATAGGCATACAATCAAGAATACACTTTATCTTTTTTTTTTTTACCTTGGTTGAACTTCAGCTGTTATTGTAATAGGATGATCCTGTGTTTGGTAAGTAATAGAAATAAAGAGCCCTGGTTAGAAGAAGTTATTAACAGCCCAAAATAGGCAATAATAAAACTCCATTTTTAAGGATGTTACAGGAGAGGCACAGAGAAAGACATCTGTGAAACTAAAGACACAATAAACATACAAATTGATTCAGCTTGACTTATTTAGCTCCCAATGTTATGCATGTAAGCTCAAGACTAACCAATGATTTCATTCTTGTATAAATTAACTCTCTAACTGCAGTACAAAAAAGTCTGGCCAGATATTAAAAGTGGAGGAGTTGGCTTTGATATGACTTCACTGAAACCTGTTTTATATTTATTATGGGAAATAAAATATAAAATTCATATGGTGGGGAGACTATAACATGCCATTTAGCTTGGATTAAATGGTTTCAAGAGCAATAGATTAGATGCAAAGTATCATTAATTACTGTATGTGTCTTACAAAAGAGCCAGTTAGGTGTAGTGGTTAAGATGGTGACCTAGAAACCAGGGGGCTCTGAGTTCCAATTCTGATTGATTTAGGGATGAAAAAACAGGTCAATTTATCTCAGCCTAACTCATCTCACAGGTTGCTGTTGTGTGTAAAATAGGAGGAGGAAGAAGTATTAGGCATACTTGCCACCTTGAGGTATATATGAAAAAAGTGGTATAAAACGAGAGACAGAGAGATGTGACTACTTTCCAAGACTTTGTAGAAATATCTTTGTTTTTCTTCCAATATCTGCAACTGATGTATTATTCATATCAAAGCTGATGAAACTGACATATTCTTTTTCTGACACATAATTAAGAATTACTTATACTGTCCAACTGAGTATATTTACAGTTATGCACACCATAACTGTAAAAACTGTATATTTACTGGGTATACTTTAAGGATCTGAATTCAGAAGAAGTAATAAAGTAATATGTCACCAATCCAAGAACAACCATCCTTTGGTTTGTGCTACTGTTTAATAAACACCTAATGCAGGGGTGAAACTCAGCAGGTTCTGATAGGTTCTGGAGAACCGGTAGTGGAAATTTTGAGCAATTCGGAGAACCGGCAAATACCACCTCTGGCTGGCCCCCGAGTGGGGTGGGAATGGAGATTTTGCAATATCCTTCCCCCAGGGGTGGGGAGGGAATGGGGATTTTGCAGTATCCTTTTGCCACGTGCACCAAGCCACACCACGCCCACCAAGCCCAGAGAACTGATAGTAAAAAAAATTGGATTTCACCACTGACCTAATGCTAATCCTGCTAATACCTACACAACATATAGGCATCCTTAAAACTTGTCACCCAATTAAGGTGGGGGATATATAAATTAAACAAACAAATAAAATAGACAACCATTTCCTACTATGGGACCTACTTTTTAGGACCTACTGTTTTGGGACCTACTAGTCCTAAAACAATGGGGAAGTCCTCACTTGCCAGCCAATGTTTAGTCTCTTTGAATGTAACTAAATTTTGTTATACAGCCTGTAAAATTAGCCAGACTTTGACAATCCAGTGAGGAACTCACCACGAAATGTAACATTCATCTTTTTATTTTTAATGTTTTGTTTGCAATAAAACATTATTGCAAATAAAAATATCCATTCATTAAAGTTCATTTAAAAGGCATCCTTATAAGAAACCTGTTAACAAGGTGAGAAACTGCCAGCATGTAATTGTCCACAAGGCGACTAGATATCTCAACATTTCATCCTTGTTAAAAATGGAATTTTCTGTACTGCTTTTGCTTTATAATAGAGAAATAATTTTTCTATTATCTGCAACACATTCCCTCAGATTTCCTACCTCTCAACCTCAAAGTTTGTAAGTTTATAATTTTTCTTTCTATTGTTCAGGGTCCCTTTCCTTGTAAAGCAGGTATCTAACGATCTGGCAATTGGCACTGCAAATGCACCCTATTTCTCTTTTCCCATATTTATATAATGTTTTAAAGAGAATTTCAAGCAGGAGCTAGAAAATATTATTGTTTAGCTATGACAGCTATTACAGATATGGATGTAATCATTTTCATTAATGGCATTTGCAATATTTTTAAGAAGACATGGAAAGACCCAGATGAGTTTTCAGGTCTTTAGATATCAGTTGTTTTACTTTAAAAATCCAAACAATATTTTTACCTATAATGTTCTCTCAACTGAAGGATTATACTTCAGGGAACTAATAGTTATCTTTTTTGAAAAACTAATAAGCATCTAAAACAGTATTGCAAGATAAAAATATTTTCCATACAAATTAAAGACTAAAATTAAAGAATATACTTTAACTTACCTAGTTGTGCTATCTAGAAGAACTTGAGAGTGAATAGATCCTACACAAAGCTTGCAATGGAATATAATTTGAACATACTGCATATCCAAAAATACATAGATCATAATTACAAGGTGCATAAACAAAAAGGTCCTTATACGCCCAGCCATGATCCTAATTACCTGTATTGCAGCTTCACTCATCCACAGATAGATTAATGTCTATGGACATTGATTTCTTAGTTGCTCTTTCAATTTGATCTTTGAAACAATGTATTCCTCCAGCCGTTTTTAAAGAGAAGGATCAAGACGCAGAACTGAAATGCAAATCTGATTAATCAGTGGAACAGCTTGTCTTCAGACATTGTAGGTGGTTCATCACTGGAAGTTTTAAAGAAGAGCCTGGATAGTCACTTCTCTGAAATGGTGTAGGATCCCCTGCTTGAGCAGGGGTCTGGATTAGAAGACCTCCAAGCAGTGGTGGTATTCAGCCAGTTCTATCTGGTTCGGGAGAACCGGTAGCGGTGGCTGCGGGAGGCTCCGCCCACCCGCCCGGACATCATCACGTCCTGTTTTTGATGCTCTGCGCATGTGTGGAAGGCTCTGTACATGCTCGGAGCTGGCACCTGCGAGTGAAGCTAGCGCTCACACATGCACGCTCATATTTGCAGATCGGTAGTGAAGGTAAGTGAATACCACCCCTTTCAGCTATATTCTGATTCAACTATATCACCGCTTCAAGGTGCTGGTATTGACCTATAAAGCCCTACATGGCATGGGCCCGGGATACTTGCAGGACCACCTCCTACCAGCCTCCCACTGCCCAGTGCATTCACATAGAGCTGCCCTCCTCTGGGTGCTGTCGGCCAGACAATGTTGGCTGGCGACCCCTAGGATGAGGGCTTTCTCTGTGGCCGCACTGACCCTATGGAATGGGTTACCCACCGAGCTCCAGATGGCTCCTGATCTCCGCACTTTCCGTGCTGGCCTGAAGACATGGCTGTTCCAGCAAGCTCCCTGATCAACTACGAGGTTTTAATTTTGGGGATTTTAATTTTCATACTGGTTTTAGGTGTTATTGTTGTTGTTTTATTTGTGTGAGCCGCCCTGAGTCCTTCGGGAGAAGGGCGGCATATAAATTTTAATAATAAATAAATAAACTTCTGATTCAAAACCTGGTCAGGGAATATTTTTGAATGAGTTTGTATTTCTAGGTCAGATAAATTGGTGTATTGATGGTCTGACCAAACCTTTATGTATTTATGTTAATATATTGTAAAAATTGGAAGGAAAGGAGAAGAAAATCAACAGTCAGATGAATGGACACGGTTACAGTGCTGATGAGTATGCCATTGGAAGACTTGAAGGACAGATTGTGATGGAAAAAAATAATTTTGCATGGTTGTTTTATAGCATATAAAGGGTGGTCTGACTGCAATGGCACTTACACTTAATTGATTAAAGGCAGTTACAGGTTTCATTGTTCTTTTTCCATTCCCATTGCTTCACTCAACCAGTCTTTGAGACTCTGTGTGATGTAATTAGTTAAGGTACTGACCTAGAAATCAGGAGCAATCAGTTCTAGCCTTGCCTTTAGGCGTGGAAATCAGACTTTGGATCAGTTGCTGACTCTCAGCAGAATGCACTTCATAGGATTATTATAGGAAAAATAGGAGGAGGAAGGAGCATTATGTATGTTCGCTACCTTGAATTACATATAAAGTAATAAAGGTGGGATTAAAAAAATCAAATAAATAATCAATAAATTTAGAAATCCTAGAGAATAGGTAAAAGAAGATTTGGGAAAATACAGGTGAGTCACCCTGACAGCTAATAATATAGCAGATGGAGATATTCTGACATATTCTGAAATCATCCAACAATGTGACTATTACCAAAACCACAATTATAGGTGGAAGGATACCCTAATTATATGTTATTAGTATATTATTATCACTACCAAAATTAATGGTACTTATGAAAAAGATCTTGAAATAGCAATTGATTGCAAATGGAATACACTGTAAATAGCAATATGAGATGGCTCTTAAAAGTTAAAAAAATGGGCTGTATTAACATAGGTATGGTTTTCAAATTATGCAAGCTAATTGTTTCACTTTATTCCACACTGGTCAGTAATGTGTCCAGTTTGAGGACCATATTTTAAAGGAGAATTTTTAGAAACTAGAACATTCTAGTACTAAGCAGGGGGTTAAATTCAAAGGCCTAAACTGTCAGGACTCAGACAATGATTTTAACTTTGAAGAAGAGGCTCCAGCAGAACCTATGGCCTCAGGAAACATAAAGCCAAGAACAACATAAGGCTCATTAAAATCAGGCCCCATCTGAGCCATGGAACAGTCATCTGAGAGTGACATAAGTTTTCCCAAACCCTGCAACTGGTGAGTAAACAGAACAGAGAATTATTGCCAAAAAGGGGATCTCTTGAGTAGTGACAGTTGGCTGCAGCCTGATTTAACAGGTAGCACTGATCCATATTACTTTGCTGGAAACAACCATCTGATCTCTGGCTCTTACATGGCAATTCATGTAAATTCTGCTTGTGAAATTCTGACTTCTGGACTGGCTGACAACTCTGACCCAGCACTTGGAACCTTGGACTGATTTTGGACTGAACTTCTGCATGCTTCTGTTACAAAGCTAACCATTTAGGCAAGTGTCTATTACAGAAGCTGTATATTGCATTTTAGTGTTGTTACCTCTTTGATCTTGCATACACTGAATTACAAGCAATTTTGTGTGAGTATTTGAAAACGAAAACAGGACAGTTTGTTTCCAGCTCCATTAACTCTTGGCTGACTGGAAAGAGATATTTTTGGTAATGGCCATGCTACAGAAAAGCAAGCAACATGGAACAAGCTGCAAACATTACATGCCTAGCCACTGCAAATAGCAGTAGTATCACCCAATCTTTTGCAGAAAATGCCCAATTGCCAATCCAGAAAAAAAAAGGGATATTGTCCCAATTTCCTACCTTTTAGGCAAGAATGAGCATGCATGGGGAGGATTTTCAAACACAAAGTCATGCAGTTGGTTTTATAATGTGCCTTTGATCTGGAAATACTGCTAGATGGGCCTTGCCATTGTTAAGTCACTTGTGGACAATTTTGCTAAATTTAGTTGATAGATCTGCATTCTGACCTTGTGATAATTTAATCAGCGAATAGCCATATTCAAAAACTGAAATAAGGGTTTCTTCAGTAACTGAATATGTAAATGCTTTCCAGCTAATCTCTCAAAATCTGGCTTGGATTGAAGCAACACTTATTGACTAATTTCAGGTAGGATTGCCAGATCAAGTTCTGGATAAACTAGCAAGAACTGAGTACATGCAGGAATTAGTTCAGCTGTGTTTGCATTGGCATTGGGCATTGACAACAGCAAAAGGTAAGAGCTCGAGCTAACAAGTTTGTTGTCAAGCCTGTAGCACCTCTACCTATGTGAATGACTCACACCTGACCTATCACAAGACCCTGACCTGATGGGACACTCACCTGCCATAACCTTACCATCACAAGACCTACTGATCATACAAAGCCCTTATAAACAGAAGAACACTGACATCCCTTAAACTCTGCTGAATGTTACATAGCCTAGTAATAAAATGTTTGGAAACCAACCCACAGACGTGGAGAATGAACCTTTCCCCTCACCTGTGCATATGTGTATGCTTGAGAAAACCTCTCCAAAAGAACCCATGCAGAATAGGGGTGCCTGCCCTCAACTGAGTGATACAATTCTTTTATTTCATATATTTAAACCATCCTAAACTATTTTAGATTTTTACTCATCCTAACATAAAGGGGAAAAAACAAAATACATTAATACTGGAAAGATGAAATAAAAGAGGTAAGTGAAAGGAAAAAATGTTACTTCTATGGTATGTACATCATAAAACTGGCTTCCCAAAGAAATCAATCAGAAAAAGGGACATACTTTCAAGCATCAGTTCAATGAAGATGTCAACTCTGTATATTAAAAGTATCTGATCAAATATATAATGTTTGAAAGTGCTTAATGATCTGTCCACAGGACACAAATGAGGTTCACTCTGAAGACACTCACTCTGAAGAATTTTTATAATCAGTTTGCCCACTCTTCGGAACAGATAGCCTTAGGAGCTGATAGGGAGGCAAGAGATATCTTTGATTTCTAAAGGGGTTTTCCAGGGAACATTGAATTGATCTTTTCATTGATCAATAGAAGAATATTTATTTAATAGCAAAAAAAAAACCAAAAAAAAAAAAAACCACATGAACAATAATAGAAACTTACAAGTGACAAAGTAGCCTGAAATGAACTAACAATATTTAGTTGTTAATTGAAAGACCATTGTTCTTCAAAAACTTTTCATAAGACCCAAAAACTAAAAGATAAAACCCTGTTTTAAAACTGGAATCAACTCTGAATGATTTGAATTTGAAAATGAACAAACATGAATTTCTTACAAAATGTAAATGGAACAAGAATTTAATATCACAAATACAAGTAAAATTCAAATGAGTAAAATGCTCATCAAATGTTAAGAAATACCAGCTAACTGTTCAACAGAAAGCAGAACCATCTGCTTTCATACAGTTTAAACTACTTTTTCCAAATTAACCTTTCTGGCCAATCTAAGGTTTCCTGGAACTTCATGTTATTTAGACCAGGAAATGTACATGTTTGCATGCATATAACTTTGAGTACAGGTATAACATAGCTTAATTAACTTTAAAACTTAATTTATGACATATTTTTCAATATAGTTTAAACATTAGATTTGAAGAATTCATGGCAAAAATACATGAATGCTTTAAGATCTTGCTTTTTCCTTTTAGGTTCCACCTCTAAAATTAAACCTAGTACTTCTGCATTAGTTTACGTATATCATTATATAGCTGTTGTGGAATATCTAGGCCCAAGATAGGATCCATATGTTGCCAGTCAGGAATATTCTTATAGAAAACCAAATGAGTGATTTGAGAAGTCATTAATTCGACATCTTTTTTTGTTGCAACAATATCCCTTCCTCCACTCCACACAGCTACTGGTATTGTAACATCTTCAATTTTATAAAATGGAGGTTTTGTCTGTTGATGAAAACAGGAGAAAAAAAAGCAATGGCTTTCATGGATCAATTGCATTTTCAGGTATTTTCTAATTCAGAAATGTCAGGCCCTAGAAACTAATATTTTCACCTTATCCCCGGCACCAAAAGATTGTAGGCAAAACTGCCTTATGAGCAAGAACCCTGTATTATAAATGGCAATCTGCCATTTATAATACAGTTCTATGTGAGTTCTATGTGAGACTCTATATAATAGACTATTAAACATGCTTATGTGTTAGCCAAACTATAATTAATATTGGATTTTAGATAATGGCTCAGAAAGAGGAAGAGACATTTTGACAGTTCAAAAGAAATCAGAATTATGGTGGTTTCCTGCCGTAGCATATGGTTGCATTTATAAGATGCAACCATTTACTCATTCCACACAAGGAGGTAGCATATTTTGCATAGATACCACTTTAATGGGAAAAAACTGTTTCTAGAAGTTGCAAGGGCAGGAAGTTAGGGGAAATCATATCAACAATGACTTTGTCAGTACTCTTTGGCTGAGATTACTTAGTATGCTTCCTGTATTCCTGAAATCGTGATTCTCCTGTAGCTGGGGACTCAGATCAGTTCAAAGGGTGGGTATCGACATACTTCCCTTTGTCTGCCTGAGTCTGGATCCAGCTGATAGGTGAAGCCAGTTGCTTTTTCTAGGTGATGAAACCCAATTTAGCAGAACTGCTTCAGGATATCAGGAAGGCTGTCCTTCTGGAGTCTAAGAACAATATGCTGTTGCCAGTTGCTCCGTTTCTACAAGGTCCAGCAATCTTCTTGGAACTGTACTTATGTATAGGCTGGGAAATAGGTTTCTCTCTGGTATATTCAAAAACACTGGCAAGGGAGGAAGAAACCTACAAAGCTGGCTGCTCTCTCTACATCTCTTCTAAAGGACTTGAGCTATGGATGGAGACTGGAAACACAGTGCATATAGAAGCAAAGCAACAAGTTTAATAAGTACGATGAGTGGGATTTTCCTCCTCACAAAGATTTCTGCCCAAAGCTACAGTATTACCAGCCTAAGTAATTCTCTCTTAGAAAACAAATTATACACAAAATTATATATTTAGAAATAAACATAAAATCCAGGAAAAAAGATAAAGGACATATTTTAAAAGGTCTAATTTCGGTAATTTGTATTTTTCATGTGGGACTGTCTACAGCATCCTTACTCTGTTATATATGGCTTTGTTCTTTTTCCCATGATCAAAATATTTAAATTCCTTGGAATAAATAACCTAAAAGAAATGAAAGCTGGGTTCAGTAGAAGTAATATAATAGCCAATATGTATTTAAATATTCTGATTCTCATTTCAAATGTTCTATTGAGATCAACGCTATTGAAGTCCAACATAAAGTCCTTGTTACTAAGAATCATTTGTTCATTAAAAATATGACCTTTATGGAAGGCCATAATGTATAACATATGTATATGAAATACATTGTTTAAATAGAGGGGAATCTTTTACCGCTAGATTTTAGTTCAAATGTACTTTTCCAAACTTTCACCAGCATCAAGCTTGAAAATCTGCAGCAAGGCGTCTCACTATTTAAGAATATTTTCTTACTACTTCTTCCAGAGTATAAGCTTCATAAAGCTTATACAAGCAAAACAAGATTAAGAAAACAATGCCATACAGGTCACAATGTTGACAACTATAATTACATGAACCTAAATGTCATCTTGTGCCTGATCAAGATTATTGATCAAGATTATTGATTGTGCAAGAGTTTAATTAGTATGTAAGCGAATACCATCATTCAACAAGAGGTAAGAATATTGGGAATGGATTGTTATACTTAGCACTACCTCACTTAACACAAATTTCTGAATATGGATTTATCAAGTCAGAATCTATTCATATAACATTTCTGACAGTTCCTGTTCAGATACTGATGAACATCTAAAATGTTTTAGAAACATTTGCAGAATCATTCTATTTGAGCAGTTGGCACTCAATTCATTTTAGCCCACTCATACATAAATGAATAAAGATTTGGAACCTAGTGATTAGTTCTTAAAAATGCAGAAAGGAGGGAAATATTTTAAAAAATATATAAAATATACTTTATAATTATTTTTAAAAAATATTTTATAGGCCATGTTAATAATATAAATATATAAAAATAATGTCTTGCATACTAAACAAAGCATTTTGTGAAATACAATATTGATTCTCTCTTGCAGTGAAAATGTAAATTACATTCTACCTGTCCCCAATGGGATAATGTTTTAACAGATGTGAAATCAGGAAAAATTCCAACATAAACGTCTGCTCGACTCTAGAAAACAAGAGGAATTTACATGTTAATATCTATCTGTGTGTTGTACATACCTCCTAGTTGATATGGGCAACAGCAGCCTTTAGTAGTCTTAGTTTGCAAAAATAGCTTGAGCATGCTTAGAGTAAAACTAGGCTTCAGTTGCCCTAATGATCTACAGACTAAACTATGGCCAGACTGATTTATCTTACCGGCATTATTACATTTAAAAAGGAATACTAAATGTGACATGGATATGATGGATAAAGCTAGTAATCATTTGTAACATAGAATTTTCACACTGATAATGAGTGTTAGATAGGGGGCGCAATAGAAGAGGTGGGACGCAAAAAGAAGTTTCAGCACTTTTATTCCTGGTCGCGATTAGCAAGACTTGCCGGCAGGTTGCCAGGCCTCTCTTTTTAAAGAGCTCCAGCAGTCTTGCCGGCCACTTGACAGCGGTTTATTTTTTCCGCCGCTAGATTACCCAATCAGCAGCGGGTATGCAAATAGGCGCTCCGTATGTCAGTATGTAACAATGAGGATGCCATTATATAAACACAAGCTGAGGATAGATTAACAAGAAATTGGTTCCCTCCCTATAACTGAATGTGCCAGAGGAAAAAGCTACATTTTAACAGTTTTGCATTACCTATAAGATAGGTTCCAAATCTGAAAACAATGTTACTTACTGCAATCTTTGTATTCTCCCTTCATTATTATTCCCCTAATAATCTTATTAATCTGAGCTCAGAGATCATTGTTCATGTACTAAGAAGATCAGGTATCTATCCTGCTCTTTGTCTTAATTCAATTGATCAATGGGATGAGGCAGTGGTGGGATTCAAGTAATATAACAACCGGTTCTCTGCCCTAATGATTTCTTCCAACAACCAGTTTGCCAAACTGCTCAGCAGGTTAACAACCGGTTCTCCCGAAGTGGTGCAAACTGGCTGAATCCCACCACTGGGATGAGGGCAGAAGAGGTTATTATTGGCCCACCTGGTGTTAACTGTCACAATTAAAAGATTAAGACTTGGAACGTAAGAAGAGTATGTGGTAAAAAAAAAATCAATTAGTAAAAGAAAGAAAGAAAAACATGTAGGCTGTAGGTTTGCAAAACTAGGAAAAGAGACGATATACATTTGAATGGAAGGTGGTCTGATCTTCTAAAAACACAACTGAGGAATACCTGAAGGGTTTATGGAGGACTATTTTGGACACAATTATTTTAAATGAAGGAAAAAAAGTGAAAAGAAATGAACCACCCAAGTAATGTGTGATGGAATTTTGGCAGCACAATCCTGCAAGATGTAGGTGATGCCAAAAAAAGAAGAAAAAAAGGATGGGGGGGAGGGGAGGAATATAGGGAGTTTTACAAAGTCAAGATGGTGTCTGCCACTGTGTGATAAAAGCCCTGCTCCTTATTTATATGTTTTGAATATGACTGAGTTGATCACCTTTGATCACTTGACTTTTTTTTTTTACAACCTACTCCCACCAGCTTCCCCAGAGCTGTTGCTGCTTAGGAAATAATGGAAGCAAAAACCAGGCTGGATGTTAACTTTGGTCTGAGGCAGGGGTTGGCAATCCGCGGCTCAGGAGCCACAAGTGGCTCTTTGGGCCCTCTGCCATGGCTCCCTGTCCCATCACTGGTTTGCCCCGCCCCTCTTATTTCTTTTTTGGACTCCAGCCTGAAATGGCAGGAAACAAAGACTGCCTTACACCCAAATGTGGCGTGAAAGCAGGTAGAGGGCAGCTTCGCTCCTGCACTCTCCTCTCCGCCCCTCCTCCTCCCGTAATCCCCTGGCCGGCTGTGGTTGAGCTGGGAGTGCGCACACGTGGACAGAGCCTCCTTAAGTGAGCCGCTGCCAGCCCTGCGCACACCTTTCCTGTGCTTTGGCACTCGCTTGAGGAAGGTCTCCCTGCCTGTGCGCAGCTCCCGACTCAGCCATAGCTGAGGCATGCATCCAGAGAGGAGGAGGAGGCAGAGGGTCACTGGAGAATGCAGGAGCAAAGCTGCCCTGTACCTGCCTTTGCACCACATTTGCACATAAGGCAGCCTTTGCTTCCTGCCACTTCAGGCTGGAATCTCCCTGCATGTGCGAACGCTCCTGGCCAGGGAGTTACAAGAGGAGGGGGGAGAAGGAGGACGATCACCTGAAGGGAGGGGCGAGACATAGAGACCTACAGAGTGATACACAGAGGGATTGAGAGAGTGGAAGAGAGGGAGAGACACAGAGAGGGGAGAGAGGGGGAGAGAGACATAGAGAATAGTTTTGTGGCTGGGTAGGTATGGCTGGGTGGGAGTGAGTGACATCAAGTTGGCCACGCCAATTCAGGTTTTGTGGCTCCTGGTGTGTTTTTTTTCTGTAGGAAACAAGTCCAAGTGGCTCTTCGAGCGTTTAAGATTGCCGACCCCTGGTCTGAGGGAACCCAGGATCAAGTTCACCTGCAGCAATGAAATCTCATGATTTAATTCAGTACCTTTTTTTTTACCCCAAACTATTGCACAGGGATTATTTTTGTGGGAAAACTGGAGGAAGTAGTGCTATACACTTACTTTAAAGTTCTGGAGAAAAGGTAAGAAGTACATCTAAGTAACAACAACAACAACTCTACTTTACTGATACTTTGTTCAACAGAGATTTTGCCAGGCATCATTATTACATTTAATTTTTCTATACCTATTCGTAATATTTTTTTTTTCTCTAGAGAATATTCAGTGAAAACTCTTGGTGAACAAAATGGGAATTTCAAACATTGACTCCAAAACAGGGGTGTCAAACTCGCTGCCCGCAGCCCGGATACATCACACGTTAGCTACGCCCACCCCGGTTTAGCAAAGTGGGGAAAAGTTGTGATACGTCACGTGACGATGACATGACAACGCAAGTTTGACACCCCTGCTCTAATAATATCTATTATTTTTGTGGGAGCAGGCCTTCCTGTCCTTCTATGACAGGGGTGTCAAACTCGCATCATCATGGTGAGTGACATATCTGGACTTTTTTCCCCTTTGCTAAACCAGGCATAGGAGTGGCCAGCACGTGACCCATCTGGGCTGTGGGCCGCAAGTTTGACACCTATAAGAATCCTTTTGACCTTTTCATCTCCAAATATCAACCAACCATATAATTTCATATTTAGTTGTAATTACTCTATTTGTACATTTTTGGTACTACAGACACAAATTGAGAGATTTCTAAGAGTCGGTTTTCACTCTGTGTTTGTTCAGTTGCGTTCAAAATATATTGTACAAATATAGGTTAAAATGTGTCCTTTAATTGTCCTTTTATTGTGTCCAACAAAAGGAAAACAAGTGTAAGATACTACATTGTTGTTATTTGGATGATTTAAGATTTTTTCTTTCTTCCTCTTCCTTTCCCACCTCTGCTATAGAAATTACAATAAAAGTAGCGCTTGCTGTACTTACTGTATTTAGGTTTTTTGCATTATATCCTCCCATAAAGAAAATACCTTGAAGGCAAAGCTTATCAAACATGGCATGGCTACATCCATAGGCCAGGAAGGCTTTTAATCTGTTACTTAAAAGATAATATTTCTTCTTGCCCCATATTAGCTGTAAAATAAACATGCATAAATATTAAGTGTTCTTCCTTTGCCTGCCTGACTATGCATTGAGAGTCTGTGATTATAAATCTACATTCACATGTATACAGGTAGTCCTTGCTTAACGACCAGTCTCATAGTGACCATTCAAACTTACGACAGACCCTCCAAAAGCCACTTAGGATCCTGTTCTGGAGTTCTGATGGCTGCACACATATGCACAATCACATGACCACTTAGAAACTGGCTCACCCAGCTGACCATGATTTACAATGTTTTTGGCCTGTTTCTAGCCTTTGGGGCCGGTTTCCAGCAAAAAACACCCATAGGAAAATGTGGATTCACTTAACAACCATGGTGTTCTCTTAATGGCCACCACAAGTAATAAATTTGGGTCCAGCCCAGCGCCTGGCCATACATCATCATGACTTACAGTGCAAATTCTGGGATTCATTATAGTTGTACATTAAGGACTACCTGTAGATGAAATACAAATATTAAGTCTAAAAGTATCTTCAGTGTCCCTGAAGATGGCCCAGTAGAATACCACAGTTAATGGTATTGAAGGATTTATAAAGATCAGGATAAAAAGAAAAGATTTAAAAATATCAGGATAAAAAGACCACACCTGGAATACTGCATCCACTTTTGGTCACCACGTTACAAAAAAGATGTTGAGACTTTGGAAAAAGTGCAAAGAAGAGCAACTGTGAGGAAATAATTAGGTTGTGAACCCACAAAAGGGGGCAGTCATAGGGGCCTGGTCTTGATGGTGTTCAAAAGTGTAGCTCCGCAAGAAAACAATCCCAGAAACCCTGCCTGCACTTTAGATAATATCAGTACATCATCATTACAGTCTGCAGCATATGCATCCCCCAAGGGATCGTTTTCCTCTATATATATAATACAGTCCTGTTGGTGATGTGTGTTGGCATGCACTAGAAAAGAGTAGAGGTATTTTCGGACATGCTAACCTGAGTCTTCCTCTGCGTTTTCAACCCTGGAGACTGGATTGGCCAGAGGCTAGATGATTGTGTGGTGTTTTTTAAGGGAAAAGGAGTTCAAGGAGCAGAGGAGCAGATATTCAGCCGGTTTGCCCTGATTTGGGTGAACCGGTAGCAGCAATTTGGCCTGGGTCGCTGAACCGGTAGTGACTTCTGGCTGGCCACACCCTCCCGTCCAGTCACCCGGTTGCCACTCACTCGCCCTTCATCTTGGGTCGGGGGCCGGGGCCATTCCCCGGCTCTGGCCTTGCCCAGGAGATCTGCTCGCTCGCTGCCCACCTCGGCCGGGTCGAGGAATGTGCCATTCCCTGGCTCTGGCCTTTCCTCGGAGCCATCGCCAGGTCTCCCTTAAGTGCAATGCATTGTCCCGTTTCCCCTCCTTCAGAGTCCCTGGCCCTTAATCTCCCCATTTCCCCCACCCCCACGATCGCCTCTTTTGTCATCCCATGTCTGTGACCTTACCTTCCTCCTGTGGCTGGATGCCAGGGAAGGCAAGCCAGGGCTGAGACCCGTCATTGCCGCTGGACTCCGCGCCAGCCCACATCTCGCCCTCCTTTTCGCAAGATACCTGCAGCCGCTGTGTGTTTTTTCAGTGCGTGTGAAGTCCAGCCAAACCCCCAAAAAACATGTGGCAGCTACAGACTTCATGCAGCGAAAATTACCGACCTCCAGCTCCACTCTGCTTCTCCAACGTGCTGCCACCACCCTGATCTATGCGCCAGCCATGCAGGTGCACCCCATTGTCTGCTGCCACTGCAAAGGAGGGACTTGCCCTGTTGGGGGCACCTATGGTGGCCTGAGTGCCAGCAAAAGCAGGTTCCTGAACTCCATTTTCAGGTGCCACGGCCTCCTGCATCCCTCTGCCAGTGAAAACAGAGCTCCGTTTTCACTGATAGAGGATGGCAGGAGGCCCTGGCAGCTGAAAATGAAGTTTGGCAGCCCGTTTTCACTGGCAGAAGCACAGCAAGCCGGTCCTTCACTGTTTGTTGGGTGGCCCTGTGGGCCAGATCTAAGTATCCCATGGGCTGGATGCGGCCCCTGGGCCTAGAGTTTGACACTCCTTTTCTATACCATGGCTGGACCATGTGAGAAACTGACACTGTTGTGGAAGGTTACCATCCCCACCTCATAGCCTCCCCAATGCTGCCACCCTCTCCACAGGCCAGGCCCAGATAGTCAAAGGGCCAGATATGACCCATAGGCCATAAAATGCCCAGTTCTATTCTAAAGTATCCAGAAAGTATCAACTAAAACTGAAAGTTTAACACATTTAACTTCCTTAGCAATATTTGGGTGGTGAGAGACTCCTTATAGGTAATTTTAAAATTGTTAGAATTGATCTATTTTTTCTACTAAAAACAGGTTATGTTACAATTATCAATAAATAAATCTCACTGAATGCACAAATCATCCTTTTAATTCATTTTTCCAGAAAACTGAACAAAAGAGAGCCTGGTTTTTCAAAACTTCTGTATGAAAAAAATGAGTTTAATATACTAGTAGAAACAAGAGATATACTTACTTTTCTTAGTCCAGCAGGAATTTTCCCCAGTGCTTTGGGAAGTCCTGTAATACCCCTTAATGTGTAAGCAGGAGTAAAACACAGAAAGAGTTTCACTTTTTGTGCTAGGTGAGGCAGGAGTGAAAAGGCAATAAATCCTACAAAAGAGAAGAAGAATTTAGCTTTCAAATTGCAGGATGACTAATATCTGCACTGCTCTCTATATACCATTACAAGTTTTATTTCTGTTTAGTTTTAACTTTTGGGCTGAATTCTGTAGTGCATTTTCAAGATTCTCTTGTTTCCTGTGAAGAAAGGAAGCTTCTTTAAAATTCAGGCTTAAGGGCAGGAAGTTATGCAAACTCAATGACCGGCTGGAGGGGGGGTCTATTTTATTCAAAGAAGTAGCATGTGTTAAGGCTGGATACTCAAACAGTGCCTTCCTTTCCCATAAAACTACTAGGAATGACCATGTGACCATGTGACTACATGACCACTTTGACTGTTCCAGGAAATAAAGTTGCCTGTAGCAGGGGTGGGTTCTACTTACCTTTACTACCGGTTCGCAACAGGATTGTGCATGCGCATGCGCAGATCACCAATGACGACATCCAGGGCTGTGGGCGGGGCCTCCCGCCGGTTTTACTACTGGTTCTTGTGAACCAGTCCGAACTAACTTTTTGCAAATACAAAGAATACATGGGGCATTTTATTTCAAAAGCAAAAGACCCCCAAACCACTACACATCCCGAATTACTTTCACATAACTCTCTGTTACCCTTCCAGCTTTCACCCAGAACAGACCATCATAACTCTACTGAAGGTCTCAAAACGACTATTTTGGGAAAACAAGACTAACTGCACCACTGAGCAAGGCAGTTGTAGAGCATCTCAACAAACAAAATGGGTTTGTAACACATTTTAGATATTGTATTTAAATACATTGTATCTAACCTATACATCAACTACCGTGCTGACTGCATAAAAAGTAAGACCCACAATCAATCTCCTAACATCCAACCCTCCATCACCCAAAACATCCAACCATCCATCATCCAAAACTAGATACGCATGCACCTTACTTCCTCAATACCAACCACTACTGATCTTAAATGCAAACTAATAAATGCAAGAAGCATAGTAAACAAAATGACCGAATTGCTCCCCTTATTAAATATTGCTACATTTGACATTATATTTGTCTGTGAAACATGGCTAAACGCATCCCTCCCTGACTCCATTATCACAGTAAGAGACTATCACATTTATCGGTCTGATTGCAAAACCAGCAGAGGGAGTGGAGTACATATCTTCTAAAAAAAGTCACTAAATCTAAAAAATATTCAAGTTGCACATGAACTCGCTCTTCCGGAAACTATCATCTGTGAACTGTCCTTAAACACCACACTTTGCTGCTTACTATGTTACAAAGACCCTGACTACGACATCGCACATGTGAACAAGTTAACTTCACTACTAACGTGGGCAGCCTCCTGCCCATATCCTCTCATCTTTCTTGGTGACCTCAACCTACCTCTTATTAATTGGACAATAAATGAATGTACCACTGAACCCATCCATACAACCCTATACAATGCTGTTACTAATCTAGGTCTAGATCAACTAGTAATTAACAACTGCCTTGACCTCATCTTCTGCAACAGCTTAAACTCAATTTATTGACTACAAATAAGAGAATCCTTTTCCAACAGTGACCACAGCATGATTAAGTTTTGTCTCAATATACACCCTTACAAAAATCACCATAATAATGAGATTTTCAACTACAACTTCAAAAAAGCCAACTATGATCTCATAGACACCGACCTCTCATCTTTTGATTGGCAATTTCTATTCTCTGGCTGTAACACTGCTGAAGACCATTATAATATTTTCTTGCTTGAAGTCAATATAGTTATTAAACTATATGTACCACTAATCACCCCCAAAACCAGGATAAACAAATTACCCATATCAATAAGAAAACTTCAATCCAAAAATAAATCCCTCTGGCGAAAAAACAAAACTGGCTATGTAGCTAACTTTAAAAGCCACTACAAAAATATATGCCACCAAATAAAGACTGAATGCACCAATTACCACATCAAACAAGAAGAAAACCTTCTGCGCACGAAATCCAACCGTGCCTTCTATAATTTTGTAAACAACAAACTTAAAGACTCGAGATCCATCCCACCCCTAAAAGGACCTAACGGTAACAAATGCAATGATGAAGTAGTTAAAGCAAACCTCTTTAACACATTCTTCAGCTCAGTCTTTGTAAATAGCAATGGCTCATGCCCTAGTTGTACCACTAATAACTACAACTACAATAACTCTTAACACAAATAAAGTTCACAGAAGATAACATTGAAAAGGCACTACACAGACTAAAACCATCTCTATCTATCGGACCTGATGGACTATGTGCTTACTTCTTAAAAAAGCTTTCCACTTTTTGAAGGAAAAGTCCTTCAGGACCAGCTCCCTACCCAACCTATGGTCACTAGCCTCGGTCATCCCTATCTTCAAAAAGGGAGACCCCAGCCTAATTGAAAAATACAGACCAATCTCTTTATGCTGCATCACCTGCAAAGTCATGGAATCAATCATTAACCAATTCATTACCCTCCACCTAGAAACAAACCACCTACTCTCTAATAAACAATTTGGTTTCAGAATTTTTTTTTAGAAAAATTAGAAAAATTCAGAAAAAAATTATCCTGTAATCTACAATTTTTACACTGCAAAAACATATGGACTACAAATCTCGATCAGAGCAAAGCAATAGACACAATTTACATAGACTTCTGTAAAGCCTTTGTTTCAGTGGTACATGACAAACTACTTCTAAAACTAAAATCCTATGGCATCTCTGGACCTCTACATAATTGGGTAGCCAAGTTCCTGTCAAACAGACAATAAGTGATCAAAATAGGGAGCACCCTATCAAATTCTGTGACTGTTAATAGCTGTGTCCCCCAAGGCAGCGTTTTAGGACCAACACTCTTCATACTATACATAAATGACCTTTGCGATCATATTGTAAGCAACTGTGTTCTCTTCGCTGATGATGTAAAACTATTTAATACCACCGACAATGCTGCTATCCTTCAAAAAGATCTTGAATTTGTGTCAGAATGGTCAAACAATTGGCAACTCCAAATCTCAACCAATGCTCTGTCTTACACTTTGGCAAAAAGAATCAGAACACAAAATACAAGCTGAGTGGACACAACCTTGTAGATGACCCTCACTCTGTCAAGGACCTTGGAGTACTCATATCTAATGATCTAAGTGCCAAAGCCCACTGTAACAACACTGCCAAAAAGGCATTAAGAGTTGTAAACCTAATCTTGCATAACTTCTTTTCCGGTAATATTACACAACTAACCAGAGCATACAAAACATTTGCTAGACCAATTCTTGAATACAGCTCATCTGTCTGGAACCCGCACTGCATATAGGACATTAATACAATTAAGCGTGTCCAGAAATATTTCACAAGAAGAGTCCTCCACTCCTCTGCTCGCAACAAAATACCTTATGCCACCAGATTTGAAATTCTAGGCTTAGAAAACTTAGAACTACACCGCCTTCAGTATGACCTAAGCGTGGCTCATAAAATTATCTGCTACAATGTCCTACCTGTCAATGCTACTTCAACTTCAACCACAACAATACACGAGCACACAATAGATACAAACTTAAAGTGAACTGCTCCAAACTCGATTGCAGAAAATATGACTTCAGCAACAGAGCAGTCAATGCCTGGAATACACTACCTGACTCTGCAGTTTCATCCCAAAATCCCCAAAATTTTAACTTAAGACTGTCTACTGTTGACCTCACCCCATTCCTAAGAAGTCTGTAAGGGACGTGCATAAGAGCACCAGCATGCCTACCATCCATGTCCTAATGTTCCCTTTATTTGTATTCATTTTATGTATCCAATCTATGTTTATATATATTATCTAATACGTACTTGACAAATAAATAAATAATAAAATAATAAATAACATTAAAATTTTAATTGATAAGGAGCTTGTAATACATTTAGCAACCTATATAGTATCTTCTTCTTTCTCCCCCCCACCTTCCAACTTCATGCCAATTTAAATTCAACATCAGTCTAGGCCAGGGGTGTCAAACTCATGTCATCACGGTGGGATCAGGGACTTTTTTCCCTTTTGCTAAACCGGGCATGGGCATGGCCAGAATGGGCATGGCCAGCATGTGATGCATCCAGCCCACAGGCTGGGAGTTTGACAGCCCTGGTCTAGGCACTCTTTGCATCTGATGAAATGAGCTTCAGCTGACAAAGCTGAAGCCTTTTAAGCAAACTTGTCATTCTGAAAAGGTGATACCAAATTCCTTCTGAATATCTAAAGAAATTCTTCCTTCTTTCCATCTCAGTGTTATTAAACTCCCCCGCCCCCTCCACACATGTAAATATAAGGACAGGGTGAGTGAATATTTAGAACACCATTCATTTTCAAACTACAGAAACAACACATAGTGAACAAATCTTTTGCATGACAAGTAAGATGTCACGTTAATAATCCAGTTTGAAAGCAGACTGCATTAATCTGAGCATTTATAAGGCTATATATTTATAATGCTAACATTCCTTTTGAGAGCCAGTCTGATGTGGGATTAAGGTGCTGGACTAGGTATAGAGAGAATCTAGTCTTCCCTTAGGCACAGATGTCAACTAGAGACCATGGCCAAGTTATTCTGTCTCAAATAGACAGGTCAATATTGTAGGTCAAGCCCTACAATAAGCTGGCCAAAAATTGAAAACCTCTCTCACATCATGCATGGATAGCTTCGCTCTAAGAACTAAGCAAGCATAATGAAAAACCTTGGTAGAGCCTTGGTACTACAGGGGTTTAAGGCACCCTGTTATTAAGCTTATTAAGACCAGCTGCCTGCAATTACTGCAGGGTTCGAATCTCGCCAAGGCTCAAGGTTGACTCAGCCTTCCATCCTTTCTAAGGTAGGTGAAATGAGGACCCAGTTTGTGGGGGCAATAAGCTGACTTTGTATAAATATACAAAAGGATGAAGGCTATTGCTGAGCACATTGTAAGCCGCCCTGAGTCTTCGGAGAAGGGCGGCATATAAATCAAATTAAAAAAAAAAAAAAACAAGTATAGAAGAAGCTTAGAAACAAGCTTAGAAACAAGCTTAGAAGATATGACAACTGAATTTGTAGGGCCCAATTCTAAAGACTAACAAATGAAGAAAAAAAACTTTAGAGAAAAGCCGGTGGTAAATTGGAGTAAGATGTGACATTCACTCATAGAACATTATGGCTTCAAAGGAGCAACTTTGAAGTTTCTCTATGAAAAGTTGCAGTTCCCCCTTCCAACTGGTAGAAGCTGCAATGTTTCCCTTCACTTCCTACTACATAGGAGCAATGCTTGCACAAAAGGCATTTCTGTCAAAGGAAAGCAGTAAATCTAAGCAGCTTGGCTCTGGTTTTGTAACTTGAGTAATTCACTGCTCAGCTGTGAGTTGAGTTGAGACACATGAGAATTATCTAAATGGGGCAAACTGATAACAAATCTATAGCTCTCAACTCCAGTGATATTTTAAAAGTGTTAAAAATGTCTTCAAAATAGACCCCTAACATTCTAGTTTCTGAAACCTCCAAAACAAGTTCAATAGAAAGCTGTGTATAGGATAATAGGTATAAAAACAAAACAGCAGTCTTCTGACTAATATGCAAGCTTGCTTTAAAAAAACAAAAACACTATATTTTTTATATTCTTATCAAATTGTGACAAGAATACATATGTCCATTTTTAACTTACCTAGTGTTCCTCCCTGGCCATGGCCAAAGTAATATAATCTATTTTGCTTTGTTTTCTGCAGAATGAATGCTATAGTTGCTGGGATATCATATATGGCCATTTCATGAAAACTGTTAACAAAGAGACACATGCACACAAACAAAAGTCAGTGTTGATCCTGCTCATCTAGCCTATCTTCTCTGGATCTTAGGACGGAATTGCAATTTCTCTCTACCTAAAGCCAGAGAAAGAGATGGGCTAGTATAAGGCACTCTGGAAAGTGAAGATCAGAGGTGGGTTTCAGCAGGTTCTGACCAGTTCTGGAGAACCGGTAGCAGAAATATTGAGTAGAGAACCGGTAGTAAAAATTCTGACTGGCCCCACCCCTATCTATTCTCTGCCTCTCAAGTCCCAGCTGATTGGGAGGAAATGGGGATTTTGCAGTAACCTTCCCCTGGGGTGGGGTGGGAATGGAGATCATCATATAAACAGTGCTTACAATGGGACATGATTGTGCCTCATTTGTGAAACATGGGAAATAGTACCTGCAGTTTGATGAGGGACTAACACACAAAGCTGATCCTTTAAAGAACTGCTTTTTAAACATTGTCTGCATTCTTTTTCTTCTTTTGTGTCCTCTTTGGTAAATCCAGAGTGCCAAGATACTCATTATTACCTCACTGATCCTAAATTCAACTTCTTCTATTTTTAAAATAACTTATTATTCCAAAGAAGGATTTTAGAAAATTGTACTGCTCCTTTTATTCAATGAATACCTGTGCAAACATTTTTAAGTGGTCATGGAAAATAATAGTTATTTACAAAAAGTCTCTTCTTTCTTCTCTTTTATTAATTTGGAATGGTCTTATCTTAATTCTCACTCATGAAAAGAGAGGGAAACAAGAGTGAGAGAAAACCTGTGAATGGGTAGGACATCAACAATCTAGTTTTAGCATGATTTCTGAGCCATCCTGTCAGCTGAAGTGGCTGTTATACTAGTTCAGTTCACAGGTAACTCTCATTATTATTTCATTGATCTTGATTGTGAAAGAGAATATTGCCCTAAAAAATATTATAGGTATTATTGTTGGAATGTATTTTGTGCAACAGGCAACCAGCAGATAGTAAGGTTTATAGGTTTGCATGGTATATACTCTATGTCTTTTTGTTCTGAGAAAAGTTTCCTGTTTTCTGTTAAAGCAGTAAAGCACATGGTAATTGTGCACTTTGTTCTGTAGAGCTAACAATTATAGAAATTTGGTTGAAGGATAAATTGGATTGATTTTCATCTACTTCTGCTATTTGATTTCTCAGTGCAGCATCAGGCCAGCAAGTAGACTGCAGGGGAAGATAGAGTTTCTCTGTCCTTTAGCATCATCCCAAAATAAATCTAGAATTCAGAATTAGTGTAGCCTTGAAGGCTTTAACTTGGCATATTGTTGTTAAACAAGGACCAGCCTAGGATTTCATAGCTACCATGCTCCTGACTCAACCTATAAGTGAAGCAAATGTTCAATTTAGAATTTATTTCAAATTGAACTGAAGAGAGTAGCTTGCCTTTTGAGGGAGCCTACCCCAAGGTAGCAAAATTGTTTGTTCTGTTGTGGCAAAATTACCAACTGCTAAAATTGTGGGGATCTTAGGAGATCATTTTTTTCCTTTTGAAATAGAGGAAAAAATGTGACAAATAGGTTTTTATGTGGGAAGCCTGGTCATAGCATGATACATCTTTGTTGAAGCATTTCAGCTGACTGCCAGTTAAAATAGATTACATTTAAGAGATATAATGCCATAAACACTCCACTCCATAAACATTCAGATATTTCTTTCACCTGCTTGGTTGTCAAAATAGGTAAATGGAATATTGCTGGGTGGGACCAGAACTATAGAAAGCTATTTTGAACTTAATTGCAGGCATCCTTTTTCTGTCATGGCAACTACACTTTGGAATGTTCTGTCTTCTGAAGTTCATTAGGCTCTTTTAATCACTTGTCATAGACTTCACTTTTTCACTCAGGCTTAATGAATGTTAGATGACTGCTTTTGAATTTCTTTTTCTTTCCCTTCTTCATTTTTTATGTCTATGTTTCTATATTATTTTTAGCTTATCATGTTTATTATGCATTGCATATTTTCCAAATCACTATGTAGTGCTTTCCTACAGGGAGTATTGTAAAATGATGTATAATAACCCTGTTGAACATATGATATACACAAATTCCTTTAATTCTTGACAATTTGCACTTAAAATCTATATACAAATCAACATTTATATACAAAATCCAGTACTGGAATGTATATCATTTTAAAAGCAAAATTAATTTCTAATACTGAAAACTTTGATATTAGTTGTGCCACAAAAATCTCACATACATACCATGCTTTCAGTATATATTGTTCATAATTCCATAATTCAGTCAAATTGTTCACATAGATATATAAGTATGTATCTCCTTAACATTTATTATCCATTGTCCCTATGTATTCTCTCTTGAATGTACCTGAATTCCCAGAATTCTTGCTGGTCAACTGAAAATTTCTGGTGGCTTCTAGACCACGTGGTCCCTCTGATATTTACTATCCAGACATCATAGCCAGCATCTGATAGAAAAAATCCCAGACTGTTGCTGGGAAGATTTGCAATCCAACATCTCCCTTCAAACAACAAACCATGTACTAATAAAACAACTGGCTTAGGCCCTGGAAAAGAAATCATGACTTTATTACTAATTGCATATTAGCTATGTTGTATACAGTATATATCATCCCTGTTCATCAAATTGTTGAGAACAAGAGAGATAGTAGAAATACGGGAGTAGGACCTAACATCCTACATTCTATCTCCACTCTGCTGCCATTATGTACACAAAAGGGTTAAAGTTTGAATAACCGAACTTGAAAGCTTTGCAAGTTGACAACTACTCTGTCAAATAAATAAACATCAAGCTGTCTATATTTTTGTTAGCTGTACTGAGTGGTGTATGTATGGTGGCTCTAATCCAGATATAAGGATTAACTGGGAGTATGCTAGGTGCAGATTAAATTGAAAATTCCCTACAGTAATTTTCCAACCATCTATTGATACTGCCCCATATTTCTGGAGAAGCCTATGCAATATTTCTCAACAATTGTAAAAGCAGTTGAGTATTGTGGATTTCTGAGTTTGGTTGTTTGTTTGCAGATGTTTTATTACCCAAGTAGGTAATATCATCAGTGCAAGTGGGTGTGGGGTTTGCTCCCTAATTATATGCAGTAGTTGCTCTGGCAGTATTGGTAGAGATGTCATTTTTTTCCCCTTGGTAATTTCTTGATTAGAGTATTGGTTTCTGCTTGATTGTTTGTCTGTTGTTAATTGCTGCTAATCTGGGTGTTGATTATGTGGCAAGGAATACACTAAATATTAGCTTTGATCACTTCTACTGCAATTATCACTTCACATTTATAAATGCTGCCTTTGAAATATTACCTTATAGATATACCTGTCAGATGAGGAAAATGTTTTCCAGAAATAATTCTGTTTAACTTAAGATAATAGCCATCATCAGTCAGGACTTCATATTCTTCACTGGAATATCCCCAGTACTGGATAATTTGAGGCTGCAAATAAAATATTATCTTTGGCCAAAATAAGTTATATAGTCATTATTATTCATTAGATCAAGAACTCAAAAGATTTCTAGTTCCTATATTAGAATTATCAATGCCAAAACAAAGCCAACATCTCTGTGGCTTCACTTGTAATTTTAATGAGAGAACAATTCTAGAAGAATTACAAGATAGAAAGGGCAAAAATGATGAATATTGGGAGTATCACAACCAATCTTGCTCTAGACATCAGAATCTTCACATCTGCTTTACTCCGTTACCATCAATCTGTGAAATTAGGCATTTTATAGAATGCCTAGAAAATCTATAGCCAGGGGTCCCCAACCCCCAGGCTGTGGCCCAGTACCTGGTTGTGGCCCATTTGGAACTGGCCTATGGAAGTGGCAGGCGAGCGTGTATATGTGTACAGCTCCAGCTGCGTGAGCAGTGGGCAAGCACGTGCATACACGAAGCTTCATTTGTGCAAGTGGCAGACGTATGTGCCTGCCGCTCGCAAAATGGACTACACAGGTGCACACACTCACCCACCGGTCACATGGAACCATCCCCTCTCCCTACCCTCCCCCCTCCCCCGCCAGTCCACAAAGCCAGAAAGGTTGTGGAATGCTGATCTATACAATGCCAAAAATGGGATATCAAAGTACAAAATGCTTAATAGTTCACACATTTCCTAGGCATTTCCTAGGCATTCTATGCAATGCCAAAAGGCAGTTTGACAAAATATAAAATACCCCTACTAAAATGCCATTCTAGCCTCCCTTGTTGCAACAGGTAGGTCAATACTGGTCTTTCTCTCTCTCTCTCTCTCTCCCTCTCTCTCTTTTTTTTAGTAAGAAAGTCCTAAGCTTTATTTTGCATTTCTTCCTTCGTTTTCATATACGTCTTCAATAAAGGGTTAGCCTTCTCTGCTGCTGATTCCTTTTTTGGAACATTTTGCTCCCAGAGTTGAGGAAACACCCCCCCCCCCCCCCCCACACACACACAATTTCTTGGCCTTCCACAAAGGAATCAAAACTTGGTTCTGTAGCAATTATGGGGCTGGCTAGTCCCTTGAAAGCCCATCCTGCCTGTAATAATCAAACACTAAATGGTTATTTTAGGATTTTGTCCCCCTTTTGATGTTTAATTGTTATTATTCTATAAATCTGAAATTTTAAACTCTAATTTCATTTTTAATTTCTAATGTTATTTTTTTATACGTTTTATACATTGTTTTATTTCTTGTATATTGTACACTCCCTCAACTTGAGGGAGATGGGCAGTTTAGAAATATGAAATATAGCTAGATAAATAAGTGAAATTGTAAGCATGAGTTTAGCATGTGAATCCCATGTTCTGTTTTCAAAGGCATCCAGATAAACAACTTACAATCGTCATGAATTCTTGAGGATTTAAATGGCTTACAGATCCTTCTGAATTTTCAGTCTGCTGGATTAAGCATGCTATTACAAGAAATAGCCACATCCTAGCTCTGTATAGATTAAAAACAGGAAAAAAAACATTGAAACTCTTCAAAAATATTTTTTAGATTGATAAGAGTAGTTGGTTCCCATTCATTTGAGCCAACCACAATGGACAATTGACAGTATTTTTGGGTGAGGAGGAAGAAGTGTACATGCTGTTTTCCAAACTACAATTATTGTAATTTATGTAGTGTGCTTTTGAAGTAAATAATTGATTTATATTACATACACTAGCCAAACTGAACAAATTATTATTGTACATTTAGAGACACATATTTTTGTACGCAGCTTCTTTGTTCCCTTTTTTATCCCCTTTTTATCCTCTTGGGTATTTTTTATACTTACTCCCTTAAGCTGAACAAAAGTTTCATTCAGGGTTTGCTTTTATAGTCCAGAAAAGAAGAATGAAAGAGAAAACTTTCCTTCCTTCCTTCCTTCTTCCTTCCTTCCTCCTTCCTTCCTTCCTTCCTTCCTTCCTTCCTTCCTTCCTTCCTTCCACATCTTGGTTAAGCTTTACTTCTGGTTTCTCCTTCCCAAACATTTCAGTCTTTTCCACCAGCCAGTCATTTGCGAGATCACTTTTTCTGATCTCACTAGCTTCTCGCTGGGATCCTAAGCAACTTAACTAATCATCTTCTTCCAAAGCTCCATTTCAGCTCTTCCTTGATTGCTAACATTGCCAATCGTCACAGCACAAATACAACATTAACCAGCCTGACATTTTACATATTTCCTCTGAAAGACAAAACTGCCCTCAGATTATCTGAGGAAACAGTCTCCTATCTGGCTCTTTGCAAGGACTGGTATAAAGATAAAGACCCTTATTTTTTTCTTTTTCTTTTTCCTTTACTATAGTTCTTTCTTTTCAGATTTTTATTGTATTATTTTTCTGCAGCTTCTATTTTTCTTATTATTATTTTATTTTTATTTTGCCACACCACCAGCATTCCAAAAAAATTCTTAGCCTTGAACAAATTTTAACATCACGACCAACACCATCTCACCTTGCTGTAACCTTGTCTGTCACAGAATAAAAAGACAAGGTCTCAACTGAGCACCCAGAGCTGCCATCTTGACTTTTTTTTTATCCCCTCCTGAGAACACTCCTGGCCAGCCCCTTTCATATGTATTGAGCATTACAAGTCCCATAATCCCCAGCAAGCATTAATAATTATATCTGTCTTCAAATAAATAACCTACTGTATAAATATAATTTAAGTGTAATTTCATGGAGGGGGGGAGACATATCATTCTTACCAACAAAAAAACAATTGTAATATTTGTTTAAAGGAGGGAAAATGGAAATAAGAAAGAGGGAATAACCCCCTTTTCTTTAGAAATTCTTCAAAATAACTGAAAAAGTGAGGGGAAAAATGATGCTTTTCCACAAAACACATGAAAACATTTTTAACTAGTCCTTCTGTTTGGCAATACATTTACTCCCGGTGCTTAACTCCTTAATCCAACATCATTATTCTGGTTTATAATTATTCAAAATACTTTCAAAATGGCAAGAATAATTGATTGTACATAACCCACAGATCTTATCATTAAGTGAGTAGCTAAAATTCTTGAAAGTATTACACCAGGTTTACAAAACCACTAACAAAGTTGGTGGTTTGTTTTTTTTTACAGCCTCATTTGAAATGTACTGTACATTTTGATTTTTAAGAAAAGGCTTGGCCCAAATTGTGGATAGCTAACACCCCGCAGGTCATTACTGCAATAATTTATGCATCTGTGGGCCTCACTAGTCTTGATATATGAAAAATGACTAAATAACCCACTCTTCCCCATATTGATTTCCTTGTGCAAGGCAGGGGAGGAAAAAAAAACACCATTTGTAAACAGTAGATGTTGCACAATTGTTTAGGAGGAAATAGATATGAAGGCTATTTTCCCTGAAGCAAGATACTTAACACTGACTATTTCAAATTTGTTTAGCATGGGGCTAGCTTGATTGAGGGTAAATTTTTGCAAACTGAACCAGTTTAGATGACATTAAGTCAAAAATAGGGCTCCAACCACAGGCCTAAGCGGGCCCACCAGCTTGGACTATGCAGCCAATGGGGCCTGGGATGAAATGCAGCTGCTCTGCACCTCATAGCCACCTCATTTTCCAGTCAAGGATTAATCTTGGCCTTCTTCTGAAGAAAGAAATAGATAGTATCAAGCTGGAGGCTTTGCTCTTTGACAGATGGGCTGAAAAAACAGCCACCCAGTAGGAAGTGAAGTTTATTCAAGATTTTTAGAGATTGCCTCCAATTTAACTATGATAGGAGGACAAATCTGCTTTTCTGCCCACTTTCCAAGCTTTGCCCCCCAACTAACCCTTGCTGAATCCCAGGGAGGGAAGGCCCATGGAAAATTAGGGAAGACAGGTTATGCCTTCTTCTTTTAAGTGGTGTCACAAAAATAATTTCAAAATATTAATTTGTTACCCAGCAGCCATCTGAATTAACCAGACAACAATAGGAAAACAACCAGTTGCCAGTGAAAACCATAAACATTTGATTAAATGGGATGCTAAAAGGGGTGTGTGGGTAGGCGTTTGGTTGTTCCAGTTTTTATTTAAATAAGGACAGCAAAACAGAGATAGAAAATAGGACTCTTCTCTATACTCGACTTTGAATGATACAGTTTGGTGAATGGGGATGATGAATCCACATCAGCCCAAAATCCCAATATTAAGGGGAGAGGTTTTGTGAGAGGATGGTTTACAGCTAAAATGGTGAGGAAAAATAAAATATTCAGAGAAAATTCTGCAATGTGGTTTTCAGGCTTTGTGGAATAAGAGAAAAACATATTCTGTTTTTTCAGGGGGGAAAAAGCCGCCTTAGCAACAGCAACAACATATATTATTTTTCTATGCTATTAAATGGTCAGAGCTTTTTTTTTTGAAATGCTAATAATGGAATGCAAATGTGAAACTGTCTTCAAATCAAGCCCCTGGGAACCATTAGGGAACCATTGATTGAGAAATGGCCTTTGTCATGCCTTCAGCATAGAGTTTGTGTTCTGTATGTTGTTGTTGTCTGGCATCAACATCTAGTGGCTGAGATTTAGAACATTGGTTTTCATAGCATATTTGACCCTTACATCCTGAGAAAGCAGACTCCATTTTGTAACGTTCCGGGGTAATAGAAACATCTAGAAGAATCCATCTTAGTCTATGACACATGTTCTTCCACAGACAAAAATCTATATCCCATACATAGCGTTGCTTTTTCACTGTTCTGTCGAGCCACACACAGGGTGACCTGTAGTGAGGACAGAACGTCTTTCGTTGATTTATTTTAATTTTCTTACTTTTTTTAAAAAAAAAATCATTTTGCTTTCCCTCTTTAGTTTAGCCTAGTCGTTTGGCATTCATCTACTTAGCAGAGTTGATCCTTGTTTAGTTCTTAATTGTAGAAAAGCTTTAGTGGGTCGTATTACGTGCTTGAAAATGCAGAATATATTCAATTCTACTGTATTATACAATGTGAGGATGAATAATCCTACAAAGTGTGAAAACCCTTAAAAAGCACAAAACAGTAATAAAATATGAATTCGTAAAAATTGAAAAATAAAATTTGCAACAATTTAAATCAGTAATAAAATCATTGAAATTAATTGGAACATAGAAAAAGAAATGCAATGTTTCCGGGAGTTTGTTTCATAACTTGGGATGTTATACTGGGATGGCCTTCTCCCATATGTCAAAAAGAGTGGCCTCTGAAATCAGAGACATCTTCAAAAGATGTTGAGCAGATCACAGCCTCTGATTATAGGTAGTCGTCCACTTTCAACAGTCCATTTAGTGACCATTCAAAGTTACAACAGCGCTAAAAAAGTGACTTATGACCGTTTTTCAGAGTTACAACTTTACAGCATCCCCATGATCATGTGATCAACATTCAGATGCTTGGCAACTGGTTCATACTTATGACCATTGCTATGTCCCAGGGTCACGTGATCCCCTTTTGTGACTTTCTGACAAGCAAAGTCAATGGGGAAGCGAGGTTCACTTAACCACCAGGTTACTATCTTATCAACTGCAGCGATTCACTTAACTATTTTGGCAAAGAGGGCCATATAATGGGGCAAAGCTCACTTAACAAATGTCTCACTTAACAACAAAAAATTTGGGTTCCATTGTGGTCTTAAATCAAGGATTTATCATATGATAAATCATATGATCAGAGTAGGTCCAAAGGGCACCAATTGTGGGAATAAAAAAAAACTAAAATAAAGGCAAAATGCATATTTTCAGATGCAAGAGAAGGATAACCAATTGTTCAAACAGGTATTGATTAAAAGCGGATAATCTTTTGATGTAAAATGATTGATGCTGATCTTCCATATGGAGCAGCAAAATCAAGGTTAGATAAAGAGTTAGAATATCATAAATCATATGTGTGTGATTACCCACTGTATAATAAGCACTATGTAATTAACCATACAAACTTATTGTGTTTTCCAACCTTAGGCTGGGGTGTAGTATTTGATCATACAGCTAATGTTTTACTCAGTGAATATCAGCATTTATATATGCCAAGACATTTCTTTTTAGGGTGTGAATTAAAAATAATTTTGGAGAATGGGATTATTATAGAAATACTAAACTGCAGCCTGGATATCCAACACACAAAAAAAGTTACTAATGAAATATGTCTCTCTAATAATCTAAGGGTGTTAGATAAGAATGTGATGTGGCACCGTTCCTGTACTAACCATAAACAATATATTCCATGCTGTGCATAGATTTTTTCCTAGATCATGTGCAGTGGTGGGTTTCAAAATTTTTTATTACCGGTTCTGTGGGAGTGGCTTGGTGGACGTGGTTTGGTGGGTGTGGCAGGGGAAGGTTACTGCAAAATCCCCATTTCTTCCTGATCAGCTGGGACTCGGGAGGCAGAGAATAGATGAGGGCGGGGCCAGTCAGAGGTGGTATTTACCGGTTCTCCGAACTACTCAAAATTTCCGCTACCGGTTCTCCAGAACTGGTCAGAACCTGCTGAAATCCACCTCTGATCATGTGCCACTACAAGATTTTGGCAAGGAGAATTGTCCCCAGCATCTTACGATTTATGCCATGGTCTTTGATTATAGGGTCAGTAACATTCCATTTGGACTATTAACTCCAGAAACTTATAAAGGTGATAAACTGTATCCTGCAGAGGCTTTCTTATATGGATGATGTTGTCCATGCAGCAACTGTAGAAAAGGATTTAGGAGCCTTGTATGGCTTTTATAATCCATTGCATCAATTTTGGAGGATGACTAATATCAATCCTATAGATTTGGTGACATCTTACTAGACTCAGGCAAATAGATCAAGAAGTCTCTTGAATACATCAGCTGTTCAGTTTCTTCTCCAGAACAGAAATATTCAAAGACTGAACTTTTGAGATGTATATACTCTATAGACATAGAAAACATTTTGTGTTAATCTATGACAAAATCTATTTGTGCTGTTGACAGGTCACAAAATGTTCATAGACATGCTTCAACAATTTTTCCATAGCATTTCAGTTAGATATTGCAACCCTATGAATTTGACATTCAGTACAATTCCTTGAAAAAGGAATATAGCTGATTCCTTTTCACATATTTTATTACATTCTCTATTATTACTCTATTACATTCATAACTCGAGGATAACCTGTATTATGTCCACAGCATTTCGCTGATCTACTAATTTAGTCACTTTGTCAAAGAATGAAATAAGATTGGTTTGGGATAATCTGTTTTTAACTGGCTTCTAGTTAAAACTTTATTTGTTTTAGTTGTTCACAGATCTGTTTTTTGATTATCTTTTCCAGTATCTTCCCAAGTACTGATGTTAGGCTGATTGGTCTGTAGTTTCCTGGGTCTGTTTTTTATTTTTTTTATTTTTTTCCTTTTTTGAAGCTGGGAACCACATCAGCTCTATTCCAATCCTCAAGTACAGTTAGTTCCTCAGTACTTCAGGATTTTTGAGAGATATGGTACAATGGATCTGAGATGCAGTCTGCCAGCGCCTTCAGAACTCTGGGATGTTATCTGTCATATATGTCAAGATAATGTCTGAGGGCCCAGAAATGCCCACACTGGGAAAATTCCATGAATGCCTAACAGTGTTATCTCTGTAACTCCAGACCAACTAAATCCCTTCCTACTTTCCTACTCATGTTTTCAAACCACATTGCAAGCATCTTGTTTCACCTTCATAATTCATAATAGGGCTTCACAGGCAGAGATGTGAGAGCCAAAGACCCAGGCAGCATCTCTTAAGGAATCTCAATATTGGAAAGTAATATAAATGACTGTTTATGCAATTATTGCTCTGGTGATTATTGTGTGGGGTTTTAACCATTGTTAGCCATTCAGAGTTATGATGAGATGAGCAGCCATATAAATTGAAATGAATGAATGAATGAATGAATGAATGAATGAATCAATCAATCAATCAATCAATCAATCAATCAATCTTGTTTTAAAAAAGCAGTAGGGCCCTGAAGAAGGATAACTTGATGAAAATGTTATTTATATAACATTGTTATATAAAAATGTTATACAAAAGAGGAACAGTTTTATTGAAAAAAGGATCAGCTTGGTAGACATGTTACTGGGTTCCCCATTAATGTAGAATATATGTACTTGTATAAATGTAAACAATGAGAAGCACATCATTATTTATACTTCTGCATCAGATAAAGGATATCAGGATAGAGACGTTTTGGAGCATCAAGGCCAAAGGTAAAATCCACATGTTGCCAATTGGGAATATGGTTATAGAAAGCTAAATGAGGGATTCGAGGGAGCAAGAGCTGAATATCAGTAACATCTTCCATAATATCATTTTCTCCACTCCACACTCCTGTTGGCACAAACATCTCTTCTATAATGTAAAATGGAGGTGTGGTCTGTGAAGCCAAGATTAGAAATAAATTTATTGGATCAAGTTTCTTTTAGATATCAAAAATTTAGCATTGTTTTAATTTAAATTAAAATCTGATGCCAAAAATCACTTTTTAACATTGGTGAATTCTTCCATTTTCTTTCCTTACCATATTGTAAACAACTTTGTTCTTATCCCCATAGTCAAAATACCTAAATTTGTGTGAACGGGTAACCTAAAAAAAGAAAAATACATTTATGTACTATTTGATTTTTTAAAAAAGAAAGAAATACAGTCAGATATAGATTTGAACAAGTAGAAGTTTTTCTCGATTGACTGTTGGGCTTTACTGCAACTGATGACTTGAGTTCTTCAGCTTGTGGTAATTGTTTCTCAGACAGTTAACAGACAAATGTTAAGAAACATTTTGGCATAAATTTATCATAATTTCAAAACTATCTTTTATTTAGAAATCTACAAAGATTTGAAAACTTATATCTATTTACAAAATGCTCAATTAAAAATTAAACTCCTGAATGTGACAAGGTGTAAGGAACTTTACCTGACTCCAATGAGATACTGCTTTTACAGATGAAAAGTCGGGAAAAATTCCCAGATAAACATCTGCTCGACTCTGGAAAACAGTGGGAACGAAGGAATGAGATAAGTCTGGTTTCTCGATTATAGGAATATGCTAGAGCTAGTAGTATGAAGCCAAAAACCTTCTGCATCTAACTGATTAAGGTCTTGTCAATTTCACCAGTGTAAGCTCACCAGAGAAGATCAGAGAGTAGAATTTGTGGTTAGCATACATTAGGAAAGTATCACACATGGAGAAAAAACTACTCATACATAAAAAGCCTGACAACATTTGATCTTAAAGCTATGTCTGCCAAATGAGGGACATTTTGAAGACAAAAAGGAGATAGATGTTTGGAATCCCTAAACATAAAAAAATATGGGCATAAAACATACACAGGTAGTCCTCAATTTACAACAGTTCATTCAGTGACTGTTCAAAGTTACAATGGCACTGAAAAAAGCAACTTTTGATCATTTTTCATAGTTACAACCTTTGCAGCATCCCCATGACCATCGGATCAAAATTCAGATGCTTAACAACTGGTTCATATTTATGACCATTGCTGTGTCCCAGGATCATGTGATCACCTTTTGTGATCTTCTGACAAGCAAAGTCAATGGAAAAACCAGGTTCACTTAACAATGGAGTTACTAACCTACCCACTGCACTGATTAACTTAACAACTGAGGCAAGAAAGGGTGTAAAATGAGGCAACACTCACTGAACAAATGTCTGCTTAACAACAGAAATGTTTGGCTCAATTTTGGTCCTAAGTCGACGACTACCTGTACTGGTTTGTTAAGGTTGTGAGAACATTACTGTTAGTTGTGATATGCATTGGTTTTATTTATTCTCCTCTGTTGTGAAGGTGTTTTATTTTCTTACTGCATACATACAAACCAGAATCCACTTACTGTATTTGTGTTTTTTTTATTAAAACCTACACCAAAAGAAAGCGTTTGGAGACACAGCCTGTCAAATACTGGATAGCTGCAGAAGTTGGCAGTGGCCATTTTCAGTTTCGGGCTTAAAAGGCAGTATTCTTTAGTACCCCATATAAGCTAATAATAAAGAAAAGCAGAAATTAATGTGAATCTGTTCAGAAACAATGCTTATCTCCCTCCATAGAAACTTGACTCTATTCCCTGGAAAATTTCTCCATCTGCTACCAACTATCAGCTTTTCAAGACAATTAAATGATGCAAGGAAATTACCTTTATAAGGATAGAGGGGATAAATCTGTTTGATGAATTAATTAAATTGAATTTTTCCAATTTCACCCTTTTATAGCAAATCACAAAATGAAACAGGCAATGAACAAAGCAATTCACCGAAAAGATGCCCCTAAAATACCTAACAACATTATTAAATAAGCATACAGTTAAGTTACTTTTTCTGCAACCTTTTATATTTGTTTGCTTATGTAGTTATTAAACAAATTTATACAGCCACCCAACTAACTCATAGAACTCTGGTCAAATAAAACTGGCTTAATGAAAAAGTACCATATTTTTCGGTGTATAAGACGCACCGGAGTATAACACACAGCTTAGTTTTTGAGGAGGAAAATAGGGGGGAGGAGAACCTGCCTACCAGCTATTCATCTGGCTGGCGTCCTTAGTCTGGTCAGCTTCAGCAGATTAGTTTGCTGTTTTTTATCCCCTGCTTGGGGATAAAAAACAGCTTCTAAAGCACAATTGATCTTTGGAGAGAGAAGCAATGAGAAAAGCAGGCAAACCACGGAGATCACTTCACTCGCTATCGCCTTGTTAGGGATGAAAAAAAGCTTCGCAGCTGAGAGTTGGAGGGAGCAGGCAAAGCAGGGAAGCGGAGATCGCAAGCGCCTCCTTAGGGCTGAAAAAAAAAAGCTTCAAAAAAGCTACATTCGGAGCACCCAAATTTTCAGCCTCTTTTAGGAGGGAAAAAAGTGCATCTTATACTCCGAAAAATATGCTAAATATTAGGGAAATTCCTTGCAGACAATGCATAGGCTGTGGTTTAAGAGAATTGGTATATTTGGGGAAAGCTCAGAAACACTTGGATAAGATTTTTTGTTTGTTTAATAAATTTTCTTTTAGGTTTAATGGAAAAAGACTTGGGGAAAAAATTGGAACTTTGATGTAATACATGTTGACAGCAGCAAGATTACTTTATGCACAAAAATGGAAGAACAATTTGATTCCTACAATGGATGAATGGTTGCAAAATAGATGTAGTTAGCAGAGATGGCCAAATTGACTGCTTTGATCAAAGAAAAAAATACAATTACTTTTGTTTCTACTTAGAAACCACTTCTGGACTTTGTGCTTGAGGTGGGGAAAAAAAATGAAACGTTGAATTTGTGTTTTATCAATTAGATAGGTTTGTTGTTATAGAAATGGCTTGTTTATATTATTATGTAAAAAAATAAAATGTTGAGATTTGATGTTATTATCTTATTCTACTGCATTAAAGGGAATCAGAAGGCAACGCCTTTTCTTTCTTTTTTCCCTTTGCCCTACACTTTTCCCTCCCTTATTTTCCTACCATTTTCTCTTTATATTATAAACTAATACAAAATAAATAGCAAAATAAATTGTATTTATTTATTATCTAATTTAGATAGCTGTTTAATATGCTATTTGCTAGCATGGAAGGAACTAAGTCTAAGTAAGCCAGTGGTGGGTTCCTCCCGGTTCCGCCCAGTTCCGCCGAACTGGTAGTGGTGACGATATGATGTCACTGAACCGGTTCTGCCCCCCCTGCATTATTCTTACCTTTTATTTTGCCCCACCCCCAATCTATTGCTGCCTCCTGAGTCCCAGCTATCGGCTAGAGGGAAAAAAACAGTTTACACTCTTGCAGCAGGGCTTTAAAGGGCCGCCCTACAGCTGATCAGTGTTAAAAGAAAACAAATGAGTAGACCGGTGCCTGCAAAAATAAATGGGTAGACTGGTGTCTGCAAAAATAAATGGGTAGACCAGTGCCTCCAAAAACAAATGAGTAGACCGGTACAGCTCTGCAAGCAATTAAAAGCCTGGTAGACCAGTACCTCTGCTAAATCCTAAAGAATTGTCACATGATCATCAAGCCACGCCCACAAAATAAGCCACGCCCACAGAACCAGTAGTAAAAAAATTTACAACCCACCCCTGAACTAAGCCTAATTTATATAATTGCCCATCTCACCAAAAGCAACTCTGAGTAGTAAATAAATACATAAAATCACTAATTAATTATAAAAAAATATACCAGGCCTATCTGGTCTCCTCAGCTCCCCAATTTCCATGACAATCATGATTTGGAAACTTTTGTTTATTTTATTTATGTTATTTTTTTATCTTGCCTTTATTATTTTTACAAATAACTCAAGGTAGTAAACATATCCAACATAGCCTCCTATTTCCCCACAGCAACAAGCCTATGAAGTGAATTGGGCTAAGAGTGACTGACTGACTGTCCCAAAGTCTCCCAGTTGGCTTTCATAGCTAAGGCAGGACTGGAAGAACTCACAGTCTGCTGCATTAACCACTAGACCAACCTGGATCTTTTCATTGTGAATCACAAAAGATATATTTAAAAATGTACTGAAATATCAGAATAAAAATAATATGAGAAATACTTACTCGTCTGAGTCCATCAGGAAGTGCCAGAAGCATATAGAAAAGACCCTTGCTATTCACTAGTGTGTAACCAGGTGCCAAGGAAAAATAAAAACTGATTTTTGGGGCCAGTTCTGGAATGACTGAAAAAGTAATAAAACCTGCAAAAGACAATTTTAAAAGTGACATCTGAACCTTCTTAAAACATTCATTGGTCTTTGTGTTTCTGTATCTCCTGCAGGGGTGGGCTGCACTTACTTTAACAAAGGGTTCGCTGGTTGTGAGCTCGCACACGCCACTTTGGGAGAGAAACGGAGCTTCAAACATGGTCCTAATCAACTCAGGCAGCTCCGATGAGTACAGCAGGGGCAGCTCAGATCACAGTTGGGCCAGCCAACGAGCCATAAAGTTAGTTATAAATGGAAAGCATAGCACAAGGGCGGATGGATGGGCCAGCAATCAGAGCTAAGGGTTCGCCCACCACTGATCTCCTGCCAACACTTGGTTTTGGGATTTTTCCAAAGGAATAACAATATCTTCCCTGATGTTCCTATCCATTTTTCTTATGATTGCAAGTTTAAACCATACACTCCTAAATATTTTACTCTTAGATTTCTGTAGGTCTAATTCCCAGGGCTGGGGTTCATTATAGCAGGGCAGTGTGTTCTACCTCGCCTCAGATTTCTAATACTAGGAAAATAACCAAAAGGACAGAGAGGTATTTGTCTTTCATTAATTATTTAATTAGCTTTGCAGGAAACCTCTGCCTGGCCCCGCCACCAATCTATTTGCTCCCTCCCGAGTCCCAGGTGATCGGCTAGAAGGAAAAAATCAGGGCTCACTTGACAAAGAAGAGAGAGAAAAAAATAAGACACCTTAGCTTTAAATATGACATAACATTCATTATCTGGCTTTTAGCTTACCTAGTGTCCCACCTTGCGAATGACCAATATAATAAAGTTTCTCTTGCTTAGTCTTATTCAGGATGAAGTCTATTGTTGCTGGAATATCATAGATTGCTATTTCATGAAAACTGAAAGATATACATAGTATTTGAAGTATTGTCTACCTGAATTTGGAAACAAAAACTGAAAACACAGCATAATTATTTTTAAAAACCCAAACGGCTGTTTCGTCTGTGACAAAGTGTGTGGCAAGGTGTGAGGAAATAGGAAATTAGTCTGTGAAATTCACAAGAATGTGGTGAATTGTTAGAATAAAATGACTGCAACTCTCTCTTTGAGTGAATATCAAACATGGAAAATATGCATTTTTTTAATTTAATTTATATATTATACTCTTACTTTATGCACTTAAATATAGATTTGTTCTTTCCAAAGACAAAAGTATATGCTAAGTATTGATTCATCTACATTAATATTGTTTATTATTTGCCTTAGATTTTGTTTTCCCAGTTTCAAAAACAGGTTTTATGAATAACCTTCCCTGCAAACGCTGAGGACTGTATTTGTAACTTCTCAAGAGAAAGAAGGTGCTGTATTATTGAACTGAATATTATTGAATAGTATTATTTTTTACTAGTCCTCATTTTCACAGAGCAATCACAATATATTCTAGAATTCATCATGGCCAGTCTCAAAAATACCTACTTCACTCTAAGAAAGCAAATACCTACTTCGTACTAAGAAAGCCATATTCAACAAGACTCTCCCTCTGATCAACCATCTATTTTTCTCAGAAATTACCTGAATTCCCAGAATTCTTGCTGATCAATTGAAAATGTTTGGTGTCTTCTAGACCAGGAGCTCCCCCTAGTATTAATTATCCAGACATCATAGCCAGCATCTGCTAAAAAAAATCCCAGGCTATTGCTAGGAAGATTTGCAATCCAACATCTCCCTTCAGCAAGCAAGCCATGTACGAGTAATACAACTGGTCTAGTCCCTAGGTGAGAAAGAAGGAAAAAGAGAGTGGTAATTTACTCATATTGTTCAATCTATCACATTACTCACCGGAAGTATCCAAATGTCTCACTTAGATACCCTGCAGTAATTCCAAGTTAATGACCATTTTTATAGAAGCATTTGTTTTTTCATGTCCTTTCTCTAGCCAGAAATGTTTACATGGTTTGGGTTGATTAACAGATACTTTCTCACAACGTTCCCCAATCTGGAGACATTTTAGATGACAATTCCTTTCCTCTCCATTCTGCATGGGCCATGATTGATGCCAATGGGAGTTAAAGTTGCACAAACATGCACATTAAATCATACCTTCATAAAAAAAACCATATTCCAGCCATACCTATTTTTTCAGGACAGTGAATTCCACAGGGAATTCTGTTTGCTTTTAGGTAATAACCATCTTTTGTCAGCACTTCATATTCTTCATTGGGATACCCCCAATATTGGATGATTTGAGGCTACAGGAAGAAAAAAAGAGATAATAGAAATAAGATTGTTTAGTGACCGTATAAAAGCAAGAAAAACCAGAGGATTTCAGTAGCAATTGTATTATTTCCAAGCTGATTAAATCTAACTATAATTGGTAGGCATGAGTATGGGGTTCTCCTTTTTTTTTCTTATATTAACCATACAGCTAAGGTCTCAGAAGATCGAGGAGATCAGAGACCCCGGACATTAGTAACCAGTTCATTTGAGCTAATACAAGTATGCAAGGAGATTCCAATGCAAAAGCATTTGTTCTTAATCATCAATTAAAAATTGGGTAAGAGATGTTTTAGCAAATAATTCATTCTATTGTTTCCAAGCACATCCAAATACAGTAAATAACTTACAATAGTCATAAATGCTTGAGGATTCAAATGTCTTCCACTTCTGAATTGTTCTGAAGTGACAGTTTGATGGATTAAACATGTTATTGCCAGTAACAACCACATTATGTCCCTAGATTAAATGATATGCAAAATATTAGTAAATGTCCTAAAGAATTGAATTTCCTCCATGTTTTAAAATCTTCAGCACTTTCTAAAATTATATCAAAATTAGATATCCAATTCTTTTGTAATAATGTTATATTGGCCAAATTTATTATGTAGAAAATGTTCATTTTGTGCAATATATTAAAACCGGCAGGAAACAAATTTACTCTGTAACAATGTACAAATTAGCTGGAATTCAGATGTATAGAACATATTACATTTCAAGATGTTGTGGTGTAACTTGAAACTCCAAATCATCAACAGAAATATATATACATATACATACACATACACACACACACATATGTAAACATCTAAATATACATATACATATATATTGAACAAGACACCCAAAAACTAACATAACAAGGAAACAATCATTTGCCTAAAAGAATATAATATATTAGGAAAAGAACATTCAAAATGCTTATATTGCAAGAGAAAAGAGCAACAAAGATTATTAGAGGGTTGGAGCCTAAAACCTAAAGAATGATTGCAAGAATTAGGTATGTTTAGTCTAGTGAAATGAAGGACTGAGAGTGACATGATAACAGTGCTCCAATATTTAAGGGGCTGCCAAAAGAAGAGTGGATCAACCAATTTTCCAAAGCAACAGAAGGCAAGACACGAAAGAATGGATGGAAACTTATCGAGAGAAGCAATCTAGAACTAAGGAGAAATTTCCTATCAGTGAGAACAATTAACCAGCAGAAGACCTCCAAGTCTCCTTCCAACTCTGTTATTCTGTTAAGCACATTAAACATTCTTATTCAACTTTTTGCTAAATTAGTAATTGGTTGAGGAAATGTGACTAATCTGATTTTGCATCTGGGAAATGAATGATAAGAGTTAAGGAAGCCAGTTTAAGGGACCCATTCCTTATCTGAGAAAGTATTCATTTCTGAGAAAATAATGAGAAAATACACTGAAACATTTTAAAAGGAAATATGGGTAGGTCATTTATTTATTTTTTAATTTAAAAAAATTTGGAAAAATTTGAACTAATAACAAGAATAACTGTTATAATAACAATGATAATAATGATGATGGAGAAAGCAAAACTAACAATACTACAAATATTATGAATCCATGTGTATTCTTCCACAACTGTTGGAAGAGAGTAGCAAAGCTTTGGATGATAAATAAAAGAAGATTCTATTCTAGTTGTGTTAATATTTGCATCCCAAGTCTGGTTCTCAGCATTCTTTGTATTTGTGTTAAACAAATACAATTGTTTGAAACAAATGTTCAGATATTTTAAAAGGAAGTTTAAAATTATTGTATCATACAAGATCTAGCTGTTAATAGAAGAGTATGTTGAAGTTTTATTGCAAGACCACTTGACTACCATTTTTCTTTAAAAGATTAAATTAAGGAAGAGACTTTGCTTACCTGTGCTTAGCTGTCCTGTTGACTTTAAATGCTACTGAAAAGGCCCTGATGTACAAGACCTAAAAGGTAATAAACACCATCCAGCTCTCAACTGTATATAATTATGCACCATTCATGATGATGGCCTTGAAGTATAAGCAGGAAATTGGGTTCTACATATTTGTGACTTTATCCAGCCTGCTAGGGATACAGTGACTGCATGACAGGTAGACAAATATGTGCCATACTTTGGTTATTATTATTATTTTATTTTAGGTGGCAACTGGCATAATGAGTTCTCCCTTGAGAACTGAGATTAAATGCATTTATCTCCAAAAGCAAATAGATATAGCTGTATTCTTGGTCTTGTATACACTATATACTTTGGATGGCAAATATACCATCCAAAGATACCACTGGTTGAAAGGCTCTGTCTGTCCCTGTGATTCTGAAGAGATGTAAACCTCTGGTCATGTCCTTCTTCACTGCTCTTTTTATAGAGACATTTGAACAAAATTTATTTTCCCAATAATTAATAGGTATCCTGATCATTCTGACACTGTTTACCTTCAATGGTTAAAGACAAATGGATTGTAGCTACAGCGTAGCTAGCTAGATTCTACACAGCAGCACTAAAGATTCATTGGAATTTGATGATAATCCATTATAATCATTTTATGCTGATCGAATCTTTTGATGTTATCATCCTGTTGTATTTTAGTACCTAATAATTATAGGCCATCACAATTTAAGGATTAATATTACGTTATAGTTTAGGCCATGTTCTTGTTTATGTGCAACTGATTGATAGGCTGCCATATTATGATTTCAACATACATTTTATTTGTTACTTTATTCTAGAATGTTTAACTAAATACTCTGACCATTTTTAATTGTACTTCTCTTTTACTAAATATTTGGCAGCATAGACTTAACCACTCATGCATGTCATACACTCCTATTCATAGCATCATATTTTTTTTGTTTTCTCTTTTTAACTCCAACTCTTTAGCCTTCTTCAAACATTACGAAAAAGCTGAAATGCCACACAAGCAATGGGAGTTTGCTCATTTCTTGAATTCACTCCATCCAGGAATGGATCTGACCAGTTGCTCGCTCCCCATTAGTTCACTAATTTACCATATTTCTGGGTAGAAGCAGTACAACAAGGATGTGACAGTAGCAGCAGGTAAGAGCTTTACATTAAAAAAATGAATTTTGCCACAATACATCATTGCTAAAAACTTAAAAGTCAGCATACAGCCAGTTAGTCTACCAAAGTTCACCACCATCACAGACAAGCCTCACACAAGGAATACCTATATCTAAAATGAGTATACACAATATAAAACATTCAAAGACTAAGAGAGATAAACATTCACAAATACAATAAACACTGGATTGACTTTTCCATACTGTGTATAGTTGGGATTGTGAGGATCCCAAATTGCCATATCTTTATATAGCACTACTAACAGTGGAGAGCATAGCTACCTTTCTAGAGGTGATGGCATGCTGGGTGCCAAAAAGATAAATGGGTTCTTCTCAACTGTGAGAAGAATTATGGACCCCTTCAGCAGCAAGTGACCTATTAGGTAGAACACCAACTGAACTAGAAAGGGAACATAATTACACATTGGGACCTTTCAATGTTTGTCAGCTGGTAGGGATATGTAAATTCCTGAATTCTTGCTTCGTGTTGTTGAATCTCCCTTTCAACGCTATTGAAAACAAGCAATTGAACTTCACCAGAGATAAAGCTTGCTGGTTGTATAAGTACAAGATATTAGATAGCTGGCATAAAATGAGGGTTCTCTGATCTTCAGTGCTTTGAAGACCAGGACAGAGAGTTTGAATTCCAAATTGGCTCTCTCCACTCCTTCTGGAAGCAGATAACAGATGACTAGATGATACTATCTAAAAATTGGGGGGGGGTTGCTCATTTGATGAGTGTCTTAAGACTGATCCTTGATGATTTCCAAGATAGTCATTTCAAGATTACAATCTTACAGTACTTTGCTAGATTCATCAGTGTTATATCTACTTAAAAACAAGTTGATACATGTTAAATTAAAAGGGATGACTTGCAATATGTTCTATATTGAAAAATATACTGCTCTATGTAATTTATGAAAAGTGGTTCTCCCCTCTAAAATGCTAATGGCTCCAGCAGCAAATTATCATTGCTTTCATTGACCACACCTTGCTGGGGGTGGAGGTGGAGTTGCAGTTCAGATTTACAGTTCTTGGCACACCTGTTCCCTCCTTATGTCTCTGAGTGAATGTCAGCTGGCATGATTAAATGATCTTATACGGGATTTGCTGCTCCCCATTTAGGTCTCTTGGATTTATGACTGCTTGCAGGAAAGACAATCATCTATCAGAATGACTTATTTTCCATAAATGCCTAGTCGTTTCCCAAAGGTGCTTTATCCAACAAGCAACTGAAGTCCAGTTGTGTTTTGGAAAAAACACCTGTGGGACAATCATGACCTGGATGACTGAGAATATCAGAATAACAGAGTTGGAAGGGACCTTGGAGGTCTTGTAGTTCAACTCTTTGCTCAAGCAGGAAGCTCCACACCATTTCAGAAAAATGGTTGTCCAATCTCCTCTTAAGAACAGCCAGTACTGGAGCACCTACAACTTCTGGAGGCAACTCGTTCCAATGATTAATTGTTCTATCAAGAAATTTCTCCTGGATCCTAAGTTGGTTTTCTCCTTCATTAGTTTCCATCCATTGCCTTCAGGTGCTTTGTAGAATAGGTTGACCCCCACTTCTTTATGGCAACCTCTCAAATATTGAAATGCTGCTATCATGACACCACTAGTCCTTTTCATTAAATTAGACATACCCAATTCTTGCAACCATTCTTCATATGTTTTAGCCGCAGTCCCCTAACCATCTTTGTTGCTCTTCTCTGTACTCTTTATAGAGATATATCTATAGATGCCCAGTTGTTTCCATTGCAAAAAATATCAGTAATCCAGCAAATTGCTCAGAGGGTGGATTATGCACTGTCACTTCTTGCTATGCAGAAGTGCTATGCTATGCTCATTCACATAACTGATATCATTCACAAATTACATTTTTTCTTCTTTATTCGTCTTTTTCAGTCTTGGATAGGAAACAACTACAGAGATAGTCATCCAGGGCTCCAGGATTTCAGTTGAGTTTGTGTCTCAAGTGTAGGGAAGAGCAGATTAGCACTAAACTCTGCTTAATAAAATTGCAGGCCTTTTGGTTGCCCTATTTCTGTCCTTTTTGAACTTTCCACAGCATCAGCACAGCAGAGTTGCCAAAAAACTGCAATCTTGACATGGGTGTAGTAGGAGATAGTCGGCTGCTCGGTTACTTTTACCCTTTGAGATCATGAATCCCGATCTGTCGCTGGCCACTTCCACACTCCGGTCAGCACGCTGCTTGTACAATGCGCAGTTGCACCTAACTGATCACTCAGGCCTGCTCAGGTAGCTCAAATCCTCCTCCTCTTCTGGATTAGTTTGGTGTACATTGCTCATCTTCAGGATCATTTGAAAGAGAGGCTGCACTTGAAAAGACATGAAGATGGGCCACCTTGTTATGGTGGAGAGAGAGGCATTGATTGGGCTTATTTCCTAGGATGGAAGCCTTCCATGTTGTGCTTATTTTGAAGGCCAGGAGAGGCCGGGCAAGGCAAGGAGGGGCTGGGAGGGGAGGGGAGGGGCGAGGCATTCTATTCAGCCGGTTCACTGAACTCCACAAAAAAATAGCTACCGGTTCTACTGAACCGGTGTGTATCAGCTGAATCCCACCACTGGACAGGTATCTTAGAGTTCTGTAGCCACTAGCATACAAAGTACAGCAGCCAAACAAAAGGTTTTTTTCCTTTTGAAGGTATCCAAAAGAGATGAAAGTATAGGCAAAACACAATGTAAAAAAGGTGCAAGCACTCTACATGTTGGCCTTTAACAGAAGGCCAACAGTCTAGGGTGCACTGCGTACAAAATAAAAAAACTCCTGAACACTTATAGGGAGATATAAAGAAGCTATTTGTCCAGTGCTTTTGTGTCTGTCTTGAGTCTGAGTCCATCTAATTTAAAATATAATTTAAAAAGCAAAACTGTGACAATATGCCAGGCTTTCCTTGTCCTTTTAACTTCTCAGGGGTGTTGTCTGTTCCTAAGATGCTGACAGCATCCAGAAAGATTTACTGTATTTCTTCCAACTTTGGCTTATGGGCGCATTGAAAAAGGATGTGCTGCCCTCAATGGTTTGTCACAGTGCCACAGCTAGGTGAAATTAAGGTGTTTAATTAGCCAATGTTTTTACACAGGCATATCAATTAATATTGATTTCTTTGTTAAGAAGGTCCTCTTTTAAACCTTTAATTACATATTATTTTAATTTCTGCTTCATAGATGATGGGCAATTATGGTCTCATGGTAGATGAATTAATGATTTGAGAGCATCTAATTACGTGTGTCTGATCTAGTTTAGAAATTGAAAATGAATGTGTAACTATAAAGCCTTGAAGTGAAAGGCAAGGGGGGTGCATCTGCTGAGAAACTGTGACATGAGCTGGCCTTTGTAAGAGAAGGGGCATGTTAATCTAGCCAAGGGAATTTGGCAGCACCTTATTTGGAATGCTAAAGGAACATAGCCTACTAAAAATGAGAGATGCTCCAAAGGAGTAAATTTTTATAAAGCACCAAGACAGGGACACCCAGAGGACATCTGCAGGAAGAAAACGTGCCCGTGGAATGCTAATAAATATTTATAGTCAAAATTGCTGGTGGGGGGGAAGAGGGGGACGGGACCTCCAGTATTACACAGCCAACCAAGGATTATTTTCCCAGAAGGACAAAAATTATGGAACAGACAATAAGAGGGAAAATTTATTTATTAAATATATATGCTGCCCTTAGGAGTGACTTTGGGTGGCGTAGAGTACAATAAAATAGAAAAACAGGTAGTCCTTGACTTATGATCACAATTGAATCCAACATTTCTATTAAGCGAGAACGTTATTAAGTGATCCCCCCCCCCATTTTACAAGCTTTCTTGCCATAGCTGTTAAAATGAATCACTGCAGTTGTTAGGAACATAGTTGTTAAGTGAATCTAGCTTTCCCATTGACTTTGCCTATCAGAAGGTCTCAAAAGGTGATCACATGATCCTGGGACCCTGTAACTGTCATGTGTGTGTGTGTGTGTGTGTGTGTGTGTGTGTGTGTGTGTGTGAATGGGTTATCTATTGAAGCAACCTGGTCTACCCAAATATGGGAAGGAGCATACTGCTTCCTTTCACCCTGGGATTCGAACCTGGGCTTGCTTGCATATTAGGCAGATGTATTAACCTCTAAGCCACAAATTTTCCTTCCTTTGTCAGCTTGTACCAGGTTCGAATCCCAGAAAGGTATGGCTAGCTGATGAGAGCTAAATAGCTTGAAATAAATCTATACTAGTCTCCCTTTATTTCTTTGTCAATAAATATAAATTTAACACAAAATAGTTTGTTGTGAAAGTGACTGCCTGAGGGCTCCTGGATTGGGGCTGAAAGGCGAAAGGAAGCAGTATGTTCCTTCCCATATTTGAGTAGGCCAGGCTGCTTCAATAGAAAACCCATTTAATCTTCCCTGGTACAAGCTGACAAAGCAAGGAGAACTTGTGGCTTAGAGGTTAATACATCTGCCTAATATGCAAGCAAGCCCAGGTTCGAATCCCAGAAGGGTATGGGTAGCTGATGAGAGCTAAATACGGGTTTTCTCCCGCGTAAAATTGGAGGCTTCTTGGCAACGTTTCGATGAAGTCTCATTCGTCATCTTCAGGCTGGTGTCTTTGGCTTCGTGCTTCTAGGAGCAATGTGTGTGATCGCAGCTGTTTCTTCCTTTTAACTGCCAGTGGGGGTGTGAACTGATTGGGTGGGAGCTTGGCTGTGTTCTGATTGGGTGGAGGTGTGTTCTGGTTGGTTGGGGGTTTGGCTGTGCTCTGATTGGATGGGGGGTTGGCTGTGCTCTGATTGGATGGGTGTGTGTTCTGTTTAGGTGGGGGCTTGGTTGTGCTCACGTTAGTCTGAGTAGCAGGGGGATTTGAGTTGGTGAGCTGTGTTGCTGTTGTTTGGCTTCGTGTTCGTGGCCGTGCTACCTCTTCATGGTGGGTGTCAGTCTGCTTCCAAAGACCTACAAAGACCAAAGACCTACATACAAACACCCGCGAAAACCTCAGAAAACAAATATATATATGTGTGTGTGTGTGTGTGTGTCTTCTTAAGTTTTCGCGGGTGTGTGTATGTAAAAAGTTAAAATCTTGGGTGTTTTCCCGCATCATTATAATTTTGTTAGTTAAAATGTTTAAAATCCTTTAAAAAGCTGTGATCTTAGCCAGGATTTTAAACATTTTAACTAACAAACTTATAATGATGCGGGAAAACACCTGAGATTTTAACTTTTTACACACACACACACACACACACACACACACACACACACCAGTTGCCAAGCATCCAAATTTTGATCACATGGGTATGAGGATGCTACAATCATTGTTAGTGTGAAAAAGAAGTCACTTTTTTCAGTGCCAAAGAATGGTCCATGAATTGTAGCTTCAAAATGCTTTTTAAGGGTACCCCCACGTAAAGCATATTGCAGTAACCCAGATGATAATCCCGACCTTATAGTTTAACATGGGTAGGAGTCTTCAAAGTTTTAATCTTTTACCAACCTACTTTTTAAATCCCATAAAGAGGCATCATTCAGGATTTCTTGTCAGAGCATTTCCAGATTCTTTTCTTCCCGTAGATAATGAGCACTCCTCATTAGTTTTTGTTTCCCTGGATCCTTTTTGTTTTCTTGAGTCAGCCTGCATAATTTAATAAGTTAAACTATATTTAGTGTAGATTTACCTGAGGACATTCAATATTTCTAAGCAAATTTATTCAGCTCAGCTCTTACGTCATCATTTATAACTGCATAAATTACAAATTTCACTATCTTTATTACATTCTGTTAAACTTTATGCAGCATCTGTTCAGTCCTCAAGATCTCCTGGACAATAAATTAACAGGTAAGAAATTGGCTTTTACAACTGAATTTAAATTATTGTTCCTAAAAGGACAGGGCTAATTAATAATTCTGCCTGGGAATTATAGAGTTTAAGTCATTTAAAGGGATAGGTTTCAGAATGATAACTATCTATTGCTTCCATTGAATAGGACAGTCAATCACTTTTCCCTGTTTCTCCAAAATGCAAATGTATGTGTGTTATGATTTCCATATTCTGATATAATGAAAATTTGAAGTTATGGAAACCAAGGTCTTCTCCTTGGCATCATGTCAATATATTTGAATAATCTTTTCTTGAGTACCTTTAAATTATGTTTGTACTATAAATATTTAAAAAAAAAACATTTTTATGATTCTTGGTCTAGTGAGAATTGTAGACCAATTCATCTCAAAAACATAAATCTAGAAATAATAAATGTGCCCAAATTGGCCCATCAGGAGAAAGTCAGGAGATCCAGGCAGTTCAAATGTGTATAAAGATTTATTGTAAACTTAAGCTCTATACAAGAATCTGAACTACTAACAGTCAAGGGAAATTAGCGGGAGTTAAGAATAGAAAGGAATTCAAGGTGGGCTGGACTAAGATCTCTTGTGGGTGAAAAGGGACTCATGACCGATGACATGTTTGACCCCTCCCTTGGGCTCAGCCTGGTCATCTCCTACAGTTTTAGCTATTAAGAAAGCTATTTGGGGAATATATATATATATATATATATATATATATATATATACACACACATATATATATATATATATACATATTATATATATATATATACACACACACACATATATATATATATATATACACACACACACACACACACACACACACACACATATATATATATATATATATACATATACATATATATATATATATATATATATATATATATATATATATAATATATATATATATGCTTTAATTTATATGCCGCCCTTCTCCGGAGACTCAAGGCGGCTTACAATGCGTTAAGCAATATATTCTAATGCCTATCTAAAAAGATTTTCAGACATTCAAATTATAACCTTAAGACATAACTATTTTACATACAGGTAGGATGTGGCAGTTTCTGGTAATGGCATGCTTAATCCATCAGACTACAAATTCAGAAGAATGTTTCAGCAGAACTCATTTGAATCCTGAAGGATTCATGACAGCGGTAAGTTGTTTACATGTAACAAGTAGATTGACTTCTTCTCCTTATCCTCCATTAATTACAAGATGCAGAGCTATCCTAGTAGTAACACATTGAGGAAAGTACCCATTCTACCCTGAGACCTTTCTCAGGATGACTCATTCCTGAGCAGTGGCTCATCATACTAATTTTGGCAGTGGACCTTAAACCATCAGCAAATTAATAACAGATCAGGTATTGCATCTACCAAATGCCAGCTATTTGAGCTGTGCTATAATCAATCTGTGTTTGAAGGATCTAACATGCATAGCAAGCATAGCTTTTATAGTAACTATTCTATATACTTTCTACATGTTCCACCAGAAGTAGTTTTTCCAGAACTGCTAACTCACTAAACCTGAAGATGAAGCCATAAAGGTATACGAATCAGAAATATATTCAATTAAATGTACACCTTAGATATTGAGCAAGAATTTATTATTTTATTTGCAGCCTGAAATCATCGAGTATTGGGGGTATCCCAGCGAAGAGCATGAAGTTCTGACTAAAGATGGCTATTACCTTCATTTAAACAGGATTCCTCATGGAAAACACTCTTCACAGAATGAAGGTAGATCTGTAATATGACTTTTCCAACATTTTAATGACATACAAATTACATACATAGGTCATACATGGAAATCAGCAACTGTGTGGCAGTTTGTGTTATTCATTGTGTTGCCTCTGAACACAGCTTGGAAGATGTAGCTGGTACAAAATAAGATAGCTTGACCGCCTCAGTACAGTGACACTGATGATAAGGTTGTTGCACAGGCTACCAGTGGTTTTGACTCCTAGAGTGGATTTTAAGCAATTACACAATTATTTTATAGCTCTTTCAATCCTCCTATTTTACCGGTATTATATTTTTAATACGCTTAACTGTTATTGTTCTTTCAGTTGTGGCAGTTTACAAATATTGTTAAAGGAATGTCAATGTTAGTTTTATAGCAATAGCACTTATACATACTGTATTTTTTTGGAGTATAAAATGCACCGGAGTATAAGATGCAGCTTAGTTTTTGTGGGGAATTAGGAAAACAAAAATCTGCCTACCAGGTATTCATCTGGATAGGGTCCTTAGTCTGGTCAGCTTCAGCACATTAGTTTTCTGGTTTTGAGTGTGTGGGCACGCTTTTTATCCCCTGCTTGAGGATAAAAAACCAGCTTCTAAAGCACAGCTGAGAGGGAGCAGCAATGAGAAAAGCAGGCAAAGCACAGAGATCACTTCACTCGCGCCTTGTTAGGGCTGAAAAAAAGCTTCTAAAACACAGCTGAGAGTCAGAGGGAGCAGGCAAAGCTCACGAAGATTGCTTCACTCACTAGTGCCTTGTTAGGACTGAAAATAAAGCTTCGAAAAAGCTACATTCAGAGTATAAGACGCACCCAAATTTTCAGCCTCTTTTAGAAGGGAAAAAACAGGGGTGAAATGCTCCCGGTTCGGACCGGATCACCCGATCCGGTAGCGATGGAGGCAGGTGGTTCGGAGAACCAGTAGCAAAAATCCCTGCCCCCCTCCCCATGCCCAGCTGAGCCTTTTTTTTTAACTTTTAAAAACATTTTTTCTACAACCTCTTCGGCCAAAAAAATGCTTTTAAAAGTTAGAAAAAAAAGCCTCTGATGATCACGTGGCTCAGCTGGGATTGTCAAAGGATTTTAAAAGAAAAAAACCCTTTTTTTCTTTTAAATGCCTCTGACGATCCCAGCTGAATTGCCTGATCGGCAGAGGCTTTTTAAAAAAGCCTCCGCCGATCAGGCAACTCAGCTGGGATCGTCAAAGCCTTTTGAAAGCGTTTTTTTTTACAACCTCTTCGCCAAAGAGGTTGTAGAAAAAATGGTTTTAAAAGTAAAAAAAAAAAAGGCCACACCCACCCAATCACATTACCCCCTCCCACCAAGCCACACCCACCATACTGGTAGTAACAAATTTTAGATTTCACCACTGGGAAAAAGTGCTTTTTATACTCTGAAAAATACGGTATATACCATTCATTGTGCTTTTCAGCCCTCTCTAAGCCCTCTTTACCGACCTCAGAAGGATGGAAGGTTGAGCGAAACTTGAGCACAATTAAAGTTCTTCAAACATCTGGATTTGAATGGCAAACTGCGGTTGCCAGTGTCTGTATCTATGCACATAGCTCCAGTTGCATATATCTTAGAGCAGCTGCATCTTTTCCTGGGTTCCTGTGGATGCCTAGGAATAATCCTGGGTTCCTGTGGATTTCCTAGCAATAATCCTAGGAAAATAAACATTTGGTTTAGAGTGCCCTCTGCAAATGTCACATTGTCCCAGGTTATATTTTGCCCTTTGGATCCAGGTCTCCGCACAACCCTTATGTGAATGTGATGCTGAAAGGTGTCTAAATAACTCAGAGTGCATTCCTCAAATAATACTCTATTTCTGGAGGACAATTTTACTTACAGATAACAAACAATAAATCATTGTCGTCTTGGTTTTTTTTGCAGGGCCTAGACCAAACGTTTTATTGGTACATGGTTCGCTGTGGGAAGGGAGATGTTGGATTGCAAATCTTCCTAGCAACAGCCTGGGATTTTTTCTAGCAGATGCTGGATATGATGTCTGGATATTAAACGTTAGAGGGACCACTTGGTCTAGAAGACACAAGGAATTTTCAATTGACCAGCAAGAATTCTGGGAATTCAGGTAAATTCCAAGGAGAATTGATAGTAAAAATATTTGCTGAAAGTCTACCAATTTGTTAGGAAAGGAGCTTATAGGGATTTATGTAAATTAATGAATAATATTTGCATATTATATAAACCAAGTTTAAAATGGATACAATAAATATTTATTCGAAAAACAAAGTCAGAAAGTAAAAATATATAAAAATGGAGAATAAGTCACCGGCTGTCATATCAGTAACAATTTTGAAATATGTGAACTGGTGAGGCATCAGGTTTTTAGTGACATGTTATTTTGTTTAACAATATATTTCCATTCTAGTTTTATTCCTTAAAAACCTTTTGGTTTTCTCAGCTCACTGGCAGATCTTCCTGTTCTGTCCCCCTTCCTCACCCAGGCAAACGTAATACCAAGCACGCCTGCCAATATTTTATTAGGTAAACAGATTAGAATTCTTGGCAGACCAAGGTTTTGGCAGCAAACTGCCAAATGCCTGCCAAGACCGTTTTCACTCCCATAAAGTAGAAGAGGACTTATCTTCAGTCCGTTCCAGGAGCAACAAATTATCCATGAGACAAGAGTTTAGTCAATGTTCAGTCCAAAATATATCCAAGCCGAATTTCAGAGATCACGATGTGAGTTTTAGGGTTTAACTTTGTCCATCACAAAGCCTGAAGAGCAATCCCACCCACTTTTATTACTGGTGGGGTGTGGCTCCATGACTCAGCTCAATCTCTGGCCCTCCCACGCATCTTCCGTTGCTGCGCATGCTTCTCCCTCCGACGCTGCCTGGGATTAAGCCAGGATTCATCATCCTCGCTCCCTGTCAATTGGTGCTCCGATATGCCTTCCTCCTGGCACATCCCAGGCTGTTCCTCCTGGCCTTCGGATGGAACCTGAGGCATAGCCAGAAAGGAGGGTCCTGGAGAGGGAGGCCTTGGCAATTCTTCCCCATCACCTTCTGAGTCTTCTTCCTCTGTTAGGACAGGCTCGGGAGTCGGGGTCACAACACTTCCAGGGCCTCCATCACCCATGAGGTCCCCCAAGTTATCTTAACAACCTGCATGTTCATTTAACAGTAACATCAGGAAAAGAAGGAGGTGAGGGCGTTAAACAAGCCTGTCTCATTTAACGGTTGTCACCATTTGTGACCATAATGAGCAAGCTCCATTATGGTCGTAGGTTAAGGACTACCTGTATTTATTCTTAATATGCATTTTTATAGCTTTTTTAAAAAAATCTTGATTTTATATCTGTTGTTTCTTTGATTGCTGTACACCCCCAAGAATCACTTGTGTGATAGGCGGTTATACAAATTTGATTAATATAATGATATGATATGATGTGACCTGATATAATATAAAACCCTTAAAGGCCTACAACCACCATCATTGCTGATGGAGGTTTATATTGAGGTTTATATTTAAAAAATGGAAATTGCAACAGGTGTACACACACACACACACACACACACCTGTTGCAATTTCCATTTTTTAAAATACCTCAATATAAATCATCATCACCAATACCATTTGCCATATGCTCAGGTATACATTTTCCTGAGCATATCAACTGTCTACTATTTTTTTTTTAATGAGGAAAACTACAATCTAATTGTAGGCTAATTGGGATTTGACATTTTGCTGATGCCATGATCAATAGACCTAATCAGGTGTTTTGACCTTAACATCCAGAGATGTAATATAAGCAAATAAAGGTGTGGAGTTTTTTTTAATGTATTTTTGTTTTTCAGTTTTCATGAAATGGCAATTTATGATATACCAGCAACAATAAATTTCATCCTACAGAAAACAGAACAAGATGGTTTATATTATGTTGGCCATTCCCAAGGAACAACGATAGGTAAATGAAGAATATAGTCCTGACAAAATGTTATAACAAAACTATTTTTCTCAATTTTCTCTAAATAAAAATATCTCCTTTGGAGATTTGTAATTTGCAATATTATAAACTTGCTAACAAGTCTTTCACCATTCAAAGTATTTGCCTGGTTTCTTTCTCTCTCTCTCTGTCTCTGTTTCTCTCTCTCTCTCTCTCTGTCTCTCTGTCTCTCTCTCTCTCCCCCCTTCCCTCTCTCTCTCTCTCTCTCTCTCTCTGTGTGTGTGTGTGTGTGTATAAATCAAGCTGATGAAGGGAGGAGAACTTGTGACTCAGAAGTTAATACAACTGCCTAACATGCAGCCCAAGTTCGAATCCAAGTAAGGGTATGGCTAGCTGATGAGAGCTAAATAGGTTGAAATAGATCTATACTAGTCTCCCTTTATTTCTTATCAGTGAAATATAAATTTTATATATGTATATGTATATGTATATGTATATGTAAAGTAAAGGTTCCCCTCACACATATGTGGTAGTCATTCCCAACTGTAGGGGGCGGTATTCATCTCCGTTTCAAAGCCGAAGAGCCAGCACTGTCCGAAACGCCAAAGGCACACAGAACGCTGTTACCTTCCCACCAAAGGTGGTCCCTATTTTTCTACTTGCATTTGTTATGTGCTTTCAAATTGCTAGGTTGGCAGAAGCTGGGATAAATAACGGGAGCTCACCCCATTACGTGGCACTAGGGATTCGAACTGTTGAACTGCCAACCTAAGCGTCTTAGCCACTGAGTCACCGCATATATACAGTATATATTCTTCAGCTCTGAAGAAGCTTCTTGGATGAGAAGTGAAACATCTTCAAAGAAAAACCAAAAAGTCCAGTTGCCTCTTGAAAAAGCACCTTTGGGATAACACAATCAAATCAGCCTCTTGATTGACTCCATGTCCATCTGTGGTCCCCAGGCCTATTGACAAAGCCATGCTTTTAGAGCCTTTTGGAAAAGCAAAAGGGAATGATATTCCATAAAGAAGGAGCCACCACCCCTAAGACCCTTTTTTGTTTTCCTACCAGATATTTAACCCTAATAAATGGGACCCAAAACATATCCTGCCTTCCTGTCTTGATGGGCTAGGTGCATGTAATAGATGAGAGGCAGTCCTTCAAATAGCCTGGCCTCAAGCCATTTAAAGCTTTAAAGGTGATTACCAGCATCTTGAATATTATGTGGAAGCAAAATGGCAGTCAGTGCTTAAGTCTAGGCTTATGCAAGACTCTTTGGATTGCTGAAATCTGAACTAACTAAAACTTCCAGATACCCTTCAAGGGCAGTCCCATATAATGTGTATTATAATAGTCCAAACAGGAGGTGACCAGGGTATAAGTGAGAAGGGCATAGTGATCCAGGAATGGACATAGCTGGTGGACAGCTCAAAGTTGTGCAAAGATGCTCCTAGCCACAACTGCCAACTGCTCCGACTTGATCAGGTGTCACAAATCCAGGGGAACCCCCAGATTATTCCCAAATGAATTACCTTTTAACCCTGGTCTGGGTATTTCTAAAGAAATTGTTCTACCCCAAGTGAAACAAATGTGTGGTAGGGAAAGAATTTCTCAAAATGAAAAATAAGATTCACTTATAAGCACTACTAAAAGAAGTTTTATCATGCAATCTTAAAGTTTTAACCCTTCCTTGCTTTTTTAAGCTTTTATTGCTTTGGGGCTCCTGCCCTGCCTCTCTGACAGAGTAAAGCTCATTATAAGCATCGCACCCGCCTACAACCTGCAAGATGCTCGTGGAACATTTGTTGTCCTAGGAAAAATTCCAGATGGACTTAGAGAAGTAAGTATTTATTTATTTACTTGCTGTACTTGTATGGTATCAATCTCTAGCTCTAGGTGACTAAAAGTGCCTGATTTTAACCCCCACCTCACAACCATGTATGTCATGCCATATGTTAGGCTTATTATTAATAAACAATACTGAATATTAATAGTAACTTGACAATCCTTGACCTATTGGGTTAAGGTGATTCGTATGGCACAAACTCCAAAGGAACTGGTGGAGAATTTGCACCTTGACTTCTAGAAAGGTGTCAGGGAACATTGTAACTGAGGATCAAAGGTCATAGTTTCAGGGATATTTCCTTGTCTAAATAGAGAAACAATGACCATGCATTGGGGAAAAAAAGAAAAAAGCAGTGGGAATGGAAGTGACAACTTCCAACTTCCAATCAATTTCCTCCTTAGATTTCATTGTGGAAAGCTGGCAATGAGCGAAATCTTCCCTTCCCTTCCCTTCCTGCAGGTAAATGACTGCTGCTGGATGGGGGAAGGAGGGAGGATTGCTTGAGCGGCTAGTAAATTGCCATGGAATATTAAAAATGAGAATCAAATAACCGCAGCAGCGGGCAGAAGCATTGAAGCAGCTGTAGCACTGAAGCAGTCACAACTTTTCCAATTTTCATTTTCTCTGGTGTAACGGAGCCAGACATTCTGTAAATTAGCCCAGTATATTTGTTGCCAAGGTTTTGTCCTGTGATACAACATTTTGTCTAATTAAAGGTTACACACAAAACAATTTGAGTACTATATATATAAAACATTGAATATTTGGAAAGCATGTGATGGAAGAATTCTTTTCAATAAATTCTGCAGAACTTCAGTATTGCAAAAGGATATTTTTTTCTGAGCACTTGAAAGTAGCATTGTACCTAGGTCAATTCACAAACAAAAAATTACATTACTGTGATTTAATATTATACCATGAGCAGAACTGAAAGATTTTTTTAAAAAATTCCATATAAAAACATAGAAACAAGGAAAACTGGCAAAAAAGTATCTAGTAGTCCATCTAGTCTGTCTTTAAGATATCTGTTTTTTGCTTTCTTTCTTTCTTTCTTTTATTTATTTATTATTTGTAATCATTTTTATATTTTAATCATTTTTATTTTATTTTTATTTTTTGTTGGATAATGGACATGTTTATCCCAAACTAGTTTAAACTCATTTACTCATGATTTACCCACTACCTCCACTGGAAGTTGGTTCCAAGCTTCCACTTTCTGTGGTCCCCATACCCCTCTCTAATAGAGTAAAGCAATTGGAGAAAAAGGGACTATAAGTGAGTAAGCTGTTTTTTCTTTTACACATCAAAAGCAATGCAATCATGTCAGCATCATGGATTTGGGAGCCACAGCCATGTTACATCAACCCCTTAAAACATTCAAACTTTTGAAAGAATGGTGCAGATTGGAGAAAGTATTTCCAGAATGCAAGGTAAAGTGTTGGCATAGTGTGCCTGCAGTTCCCAGACTTGGGCTGCAAGCATGATCACATTCCTTTTGATGTGTGCAAGATGGTTAGCAGCAGGGAAGTACAAAAATTTTCCCTGCCAGTTCTGTGGGCGTGGCTTGGTGGGCATGACTTGGTGGTCATATAATCAGGTGGGCACGGCCAACTTGACGTCACTCACATCACTCACTGTTAGAGCCAGGAATTGTCATGGAGTGAGTAAAATGTGGTGAAACTCACTTAACAATGCTCTTGCTTAGCAACCAAAATTTTGGACTCAATTGTGGTCATAAGTCAAGGACTATCTCTGCCTTCCACTGCATGGCAGCCTTGTCTTAGTAAGCTCCTTCTCCTTTCTGGCAATTTTCCTCTCTGTTAGAGGCACCAAAATAATCCAAACAATGTAAGGTTTCCTGCTTCTCTCTCTCTCCCCCTTCCTCTTTCTTTCTCTTTCTTTTTTTCTCTCTTTCTCTTTCTCTCTTTCTTGTCTCTCTCTCTTTCTTCTCTCTCTTTCTCTCCCTTCCTTCCTCTTTCTTTCTTTCTCTCTTTTTCTTTCTTTCGGCAGTGGGAAAAGGAAGAAAGTGCTCCAGAAGGGCTGGTGGCCTGGCCCAGAAGCAGCGTGTCCCCTGGATGCGGGCAGCAGAACCTGAGGCAGAGGGGAAGGCAAGCAGGTGGCAGTCTTGCCATGTCCCCCCGAGCCGGCTCCTCGGCCGAGCGCAGTGGGTCTCCCCACCCCCCCGCCACCACCAGAATCAGCCTTACCTTCTAGATCCTCCACCGGTGTATTCAGCATGCCCATCATCCCAATGGAGCCAGCGTGTTGGTAAGGCTGATGACAGGCGGCCCTTGGTGGAGATGTAACCGCCGCTCTGGGGCTGAGAGGGGTGGTGGCAGTGGTGCTCTGGGAGGGCAGGCAGATGTCCCAGTGCTGCACATGTGCAGCAGCCTCAGGACATCTGCCTGCCTGCCTGAAGCACTGCCTCCACCGTTCACTTTTGCTTCGTGCCGGGAGAAGGAAGAGAGCGAACAGTGGCACCGCGGCAGTGCTTCAGGAGGGCAGACGGATGTCCCAGGGCTGCTGCATGTGCAGCACCAGGACATCCATCTGCCTTCCTGGAGCACCGCTGCTGCCGACGTTGCCCCTCTCAGCCCCAGAGCAGCGGTTGCATCTCCACCAAGGGCTGACTGCCCATCCACTGGCTGGGCAGGGCTGGACTCCAACCTCGGAAGGCAAGTGGGCATGGGGGACTGCCAGGAAGGCTGCATGGAAGGCAGGCAAGCATGGCAGGGCTGCAGGGAAGGGAGTAGGATGTTAGCTCCCTTCCCCACAGCTGGGTGGCCCGGGCTTGCTTGCCTGCCTTCGCAAGCTGGCCACGGGGATGCCGGGAAGGCCACGTGGAAGGCAGGCAATTTGCAGAATTTGCAATTTTTATAATGCAAAATTGTGCACATATGTGAAAAAGATTGGATGGCAGAAATCTAGAGAATGGCTTCGAATGATAATGCTAATGTGGGGAAGGTAAAATTCATGTTGGAATAAGGAGGAATGTGCTTGGAATTGCAAGATTACTTTCTCACAGGCCATTTTATTTTACAGGCAATATGGGGTACTAAAGAATTTTCCATTTCTAATGAGAGAATAAAATCCATCATGGTCCATGCATGCAGCTATCCACTGATTGACTACCTTTGCCTACAGAACATTTTCCTTACAGGAGGATATAATCAGAAAAACTTAAATGTAGTAAGTAAGCTCTATTTTGATTTTCTACAAAGATACAAATGAGGCAGACCAGGTCAGGAAAATAGTCCATAGGAAGACTAGAATTCTACTTTAAAGGCAGTGTCTGTCAATCTTGGTGACTCCCAGAATTATTTCTACCAGATTCTGTAACAGCTTTGTTCCCTATGCCATCCATCTGGTAAACTCACAAGATTCGTTTTTCTTGCCATAAATATGTAAACTTCCAAACTAGACTGTGTTGTTTCTCTGTGTCATATAATATATGTGGGTATATACATACATTTGTATTTATTTGTATGTATGTATGTATTTATGTCTATCTATCTGTCTATCTATCTATCTATCTATCTATCTATTATCTATCTATCTATCTATCTATCTTGTCATGTTTATGTAGTGTAAAATTGGAAGTGGTGACCCTTTAAGAGCTATATACAATGAAATTTCATTTTTAATGTATGCCAATTAGTGTACATTCAAAGTGACAATAAAGTTATTCCATTCCATTCCATTCCATTCCATTCCATTCCATTCCATTCCATTCCATTCCATTCCATTCCATTCTATTCTATTCTATTCTATTCTATTCTATTCTATTCTATTCTATTCTATTCTATTCTATTCTATTTTATTCAAGTCCATCTTAATATGCTATTCCTGGTATGTGATGTTTTGTATACATACAGAGAAAGAAGCACTCTTGTAATCTTTGACTTTTAGGCTTGCTGTCAAACATCAATACTAATGACTGTTTTGAACAATATGCAGGTTGCATTACACGAATGGCTATTTTATATGTGAAATTATGACTGAAATATTTCTGCACCTATATTGGTTCACACTGTCAGGAAGTTTCTCCTTAGAAAGTCTTTTGTTCAGTTTACTTCATTGCTTCTTCTTTTGCCTTCTGGTGCTTTGGAAAATACATTGCCCCCCCCCCCACTTCTTTCTGGCAGCCCCTTAAAAGCCTGTTGCCTATCACACTCTTGGGCAAAGCATGTGAGCCATTTCCTCCTTTCAGTGGTCCATGAAAGTGCATCTATAGTATGCACTTAAAGTTGAAAAAAGGTGAACAACATTTTTACAGAACTATAGATACGTTGAGGCAGGGTGTGACAAGGAATGGCTGGGAGGGGAGGGGCCAGGTGAGGCACCCCTTGACGTGAGTGACATTGAGTTGGCCACAGCTACCCAGTCACATGACCATCAAGCCACACCCACTGTCATATGACCATCAAGCCACACCCACAAAATAAGCCACGCCCACAGAACCAGTAGTAAAAAAAATTAGAACCCACCCCTGATTTCTATTCTATTCTATTCTATTCTATTCTATTCTATTCTATTCTATTCTATTCTATTCTATTCTATGTTGGGAAACACTGCTTGAAATTCTGCCTGTGTTATTACCTGTCCTCTTTTATATCCCAGGGAGTCAAGGGGAATTGAAGAAATCATTCTTTCTCATACATGCACGCTGCTTCTGCGTTTGCTGTTTTTCTAATAACTACTAGCTGCTTTCTCCAATGTCATCATCATGCCTCCTTATAAGAGAGGAAGAAATAAAAACAAAAAAAGAAAAATATATATAGTGTGCAAAGAGCATGAAATCTTATTCAGTAAACTAGGACATTTGCTTCTTCTAGCTTGAAGACATCCATTCTCCAACTGGTAGTCTTTGTTTAGAAACCGCAATTCGGATCAGCAACTTGGTGTTAATCAAAGCAATCACTAGATCTGTCAAACTCGCAGCCCACAGGCCAGATGCATCACACACTGGCCACGCTCATGCCCAATTAGCGAAGGGGAAAAAAGTTGTGATACATCACATGATGACGGCATGACAATGGGAGTTTGACACCCCTGACTAGGTGAATTTATGAGTTGTTGTTTTTTACTTTATATACCTGCAAAGGTCCTAAATGTGATGATTGTCATAAAGTTGCTTTTTCATCAGAACAATATCACTAAATGAGGCATTGTTAAACAATGTATTTACCAGAGGTGGGCTGCTGCCGGTTTGGACCAGTTCACCTGAACTGATTGCTCAGATTCTTCATGGTTCAGAGAACTGGCAAATCATACCACTGGCTGGCCCCGCCCCACCCATTTTTCGGGCTGTTTTCAGCCATTTTCAGGCCGTTTTTGGGCCAATTCTAGCCAGAAAATGGCTGAAAATGGCCCCCAAAATGGCCTGAAAATGGCCCAAAAACACTCCAAAACAGGCCATTTTTCGGGCCATTTCCAGGCCATTTTTACAGCTAAAATCAGCCCGAAAAACAGCCTGATAAAGCCCAAAAAAAGGCCTGAAAACATCCCAAAAAACCTGGCTGCAAGAGGAAGAGAAGCCATGCCCACTCAGTCACATGACCCACCCAGCCACGCCCACGCAGTCATTATGGCAGAGAACTGGTTCTTACTACTGGTATTTACATTTTATCACTCTAATGACTAGAGCGCAGAATCTTGAAATAATTGTTTTCAGGCAAGCAGTTTCCTTATGTAGGAAAAGTTAATTCATAGAAATATATTTGTCTACAATAATTGCTAAAATGTTTACAGGAGGTACCTTCTGAGAAAAGTTGACACTATAAGCCAAAAATTATACTGTTGGTTGGAGGGAGCAGTGAGTAATAGTCAGCAAAGGATTAGGAGCCAAAGTAATGGCCTCTTTCAACAATAGTAAAATATATTGCATTGGCTTAATTGCCTGCTTATTTACATGTAGAAGTGGGACTCTTCACTGGATATTCTCTAAGGATAAAAGAAAATAATGAGGCTGTGGAAAGAGATTGGATTCAGTGAAGAGCTGTTCAAACCAACTATTCAAGGCAAAGAGCCTGATCTGGACCACTGCATCAAATAAATTGGCCCCCAATAGATTCAAAAGCTCTATAACTTATCTGTTACCAGCACTACGTCTTCTGTTCCATATACTGAGAACATTGATGTAATTACGGGACCGCCTTCTGCCACCAATAGCCTCCCACCGGCCGGTTCACTCCCACAGAGAGGGCCTCCTCAGGGTGCCGTCGGCCAGACAATGCCGGCTGGCGACCCGCAGGAGGAGAGCCTTCTCTGTGGTGGCACCTACCCTATGGAACAATCTACCCCCAGAGATACGAGTGATCTCCGACCTCCGGACTTTTCGTCGGGCCCTAAAAACTTATTTTTTTCAGTTAGCCGGTCTGTCTTGATTTTAGGGTTAGTTTTAAAAATTTAATATTGATTTTAAATTGACAAGTTTTAAATTACGGGCCAAATTTATAAATTATTTTAACTCTATTTTTAACTGTAATGTTATGTATAGATGTTTTTATTTTGGCTGTTCACCGCCCTGAGTCCGAAAGGAGAAGGGCGGTATAGAAATTTGAATAATAAATAAATAAAGTCAATGTATAGACCCTCAGCTGAGCAACAGAAACTCACGATTTGGTAGGGGAAAAGTTATTATGAACAGGCATTTTTAAAGGCATGTAACAGTAGATCACATATAGATCTCAATTCCTGGCAAATAGATGGGGAAGAAATTGAGATAGTGACAGATTTTATTTTCCTGGGCTCCAAGATCACCGCAGATGGGGACTGCAGCCAAGAAATTAAAAGATGTTTGCTCCTGGGGAGGAAAGCTATGGCAAATCTAGATAGCATACTAAAAAAACAGAGACATCACCCTGCCAACAAAAATGCATATATTCAGGGCTATGGTTTTCCCAGTTGCCATGTATGGCTATGAAAGTTGGACCATAACAAAGGCTGATGGCCAAAGAATTGAGGCCTTTGAACTATGGTGCTGGAGAAAACTTCTGCGAGTCCCTTTGACTGCAAGACAATCAAACCGGTCAGTCCTAGAGGAGATCAACCCTGACTGCTGTTTAGAAGGCCAAGTCCTGAAGATGAAACTCAAAAACTTTGGCCACCTAATGAGAAGGAAGGACTCACTGGAGAAGAGCTGGGAAAGATTGAGGGCACTGGAGAAGAGCTGGGAAAGATTGCTGGGAAAGATTGAGGGCAAAAGAAGAACAGGATGACAGAGAACAATGTGGCTGGATGGAGTCCCTGAAGCAGTAGGTGTGAGCTTAAATGGACTCCAGAGGATGGTAGAGGACAGGAAGGCCTGGAGGAATATTGTCCATGGGGTCGCGATGGGTCGGACACAACTTCACAACTAACAACAACAACGGTTGTGTGCAACTTATTTTTGAAAATTGAAGGAACAGATTTTTGCTCATTTGTTTATATTTTACAAGAGCGTAACAATAAAAGAATCCTTTCATATATACCCCTCAGAGTAAAAATATAAATTCATTTTCTTTTTCAGTGTCGAGCAGATGTATATGCTGGGATCAATCCTGATTACTCATCTGTAAAAACTATGAATCACTGGAGCCAGGTACAGTATGACTTTAATTTGTTAGTTAATTTCAAGACAAATCCAAATTGAGATATCAGTGTTTTAATTAAGCAAATGGTTGGTATGGGTACAAATACATTACTACAAATGTTTGTTTGTTGGTCATGTAGTTTTAAAATTATTTTTTTACTTTTCTATATTTTTTATAAAATGTCTTATAAAGAATCCTATTACTGCATTGTGGGATTCCTTGATCTAGGAACATGGCTATCTAAGATCCTCCTTGCAGCTCCCAAATACAGTATCAAATATGAAATTGTTTGATTTTTGACTTTTAAAGGAAAACAAAACTGGTGCCAATGCATGTCTCCACTTTTAGTGATTTCCTGGGAAATCCAAATAAGATAATAGAAGAAACACCTCATTATTAAAGAAGTGGTTTTTCTATTAACAATTAAGAAATGGTTTTTGCGAAAACAAATGCTTAGCATGAGTTCTATACTTACATCAAGGAACTCTTGTTTGCTGACCCTATCCCTGTCATCATAATCCAAGTAGAGAGGCCACTAAGGGTAAGTTACATCTATTCCTTCCCAGCTTATTCACCTACTTTTTCCAACCACCTGATTCTCAGGTGATATCCAACCAAACACTTAAAAATATAATGAAATGCAGCAGTGAATCTATAATAAATGTATTAAACATCATCATAATACTACTACCTTGATGTGCTTGTGGGGCTTGTGTGCTCTGAGCAAGATGAGAGTTATGCCAGAGGTTCAACCACACTGGACCATACTAAGGAACCATCAAACAGTGTCTCTCCCATAAAAAATATAATGAGTTGTAATTTACAGATCCATACTGGATTGGTTATTGCCCAGGATATCAAGTGTTGTAAATCAGAGGTCCAGGCTTTTGCTCTGTGTGAAGATGTCTCTCTCACTCTCGCAGAGAGCTTTATTTTTTATACAGTTTTACACAGGCAGATAAAAGGCAGGACAGCAACAGTGTTCTAATTGGCAAATCTTCCTCCCTGTTCACCCACTCAGAAGGTCAGATAACACAGACCAGAGAAATAATGAGATCATACAGGAAGAAGATACAATGACACCAGAAACAGAAGCAGTTTGCTGCGTTCTGCCCGATGTCATGGACTTCAATTCCCTACATCCTACTCTTTTTTATCTTGTTTGTGAAGCCATCCTCTTACGAGGGGCCAAAAAAAGGGGTTATTATCAGGAGAGGAAAATCCTTGCAGTTGCTTATATAAGGCATGACTTTGAGACAACGTAGGAAGGGATTTAAAGCAAAATGCAGTTATACATATATTACAAAAGGAAGAAATACACTGAACAAAACCTCCAATTAAAAACCTCCTCCAATTAAAATAACACAAATTATAGGCCAAATTATACAAAATTTTAAGTTGATGCTAAATGTTTCTTGACTCAGGATAAAGTTCCCTGCATTGATGCTTTTTCCAAAGAAACAGGTAGCGTTGTATTCAAAGAAGCCAGCAAAGTAATATCAAATATAAGCACCAGCTCACTCCAAAGAAATAAGCCAACTAATGTACACATCTGCAGTTATAATTGAATATCTTGGATGCAAAATCAATAAACAAGAAAAAGTCAATAATACAAAAGCAATAAAGAATCTGGATTAAGAGGATCATTACAAAAACTAGGGCAACCTTCAAGCTGACATCATCAAGTCAAGCTATTTAGTGGACAATACATCAGAAGAGTGAAAAACATCTTAATTCTTCTTAAACTCCAAAATCAATAGAGGAAATTCCATTAATTCATTCATTCATTCATTCATTCATTCATTCATTCATTCATTCATTCATTCATGACAGTTTATATAGCCACCAATTCATTCTCAGTGACTCTGGGCAGTTTACAAAGATACAAAACCTAATAAAAAGCAATAACCGTTCCCTCCTCACACACCCTCACCCCCATCCACCCACCCCAGTAGTTGCTGCAAGATTGCACTGACTGATTACAAAGAACAGCATGACGAAGTAGCAACAAGGGTGCACTGGAAGATCTACAAGAAATGCCATTAACCTGCAACCAAGAACTGGTGGTAGCACAAAATATACAAAGTAATAGAAAACGAAGATGCTAAAGTGCTCAGGGACTTTAGAACTGAAACAGACAAGCACCTGCCACATCATAGGCTTTGCAACTGTCAATAAGAAAGACAAAAAAGTCTGGATAATGGGTGTGGCAATACCTGGAGACAGCAGACTAGAAGAGGAAGAGTTGGAGAAGACGACAAAATACGAAGACCTGCAAATAGAAACACCCTGCGATATTATCCATTAACTAAACTCTGGCTAAAAATGCCAAATCCAGTTTAAACACCTAGCTGAATGTGCAGTGAACCGTAATTAGAAAATTATAAAAATAGAAAATTATAGAAAATTATAAATTAATTAGAAAATCTGCGCATTAACAAAAAAAAAATTCCATCTGTTAGTTACAAAAGGCCACACTCCTTGGACCCCGATATATACTAGGCAAATACGTTATGACGTTCTAGGTTCCTGGGAAGATCTTGATGAGTTTCAAGCTACCAGCTAAAGAACTGGCAGCTGTTATTTCACATTGTTATTTATATAATAATAGTAATACAAACAAAGACAATATTAATACATTTAAATGTATTTTAAAATGTATTTTACATTTTAACAATTAAAATATGCTAAAAAGCTAGAAATCTATTTCCTATTATACTGTATGAAGCTAAGTTATAAAGCTAACAAAGGTGACTATTTTGTCTGATTTTGTTTTAAACTCCCAAGTTGCATTGATGTTTCTTGTTTCTTTCTAGTTACTGTAAGATATGTTTCTATTGTTTGTTTTTATTGTACTTGAGAGATAAGCAACTACATAAATTTGACTTTAAAAATAAATATGATTAAATCAAGGCTACGTAGAAACATTTGGCTCCATTTTGACATTTTGACAATATAAATAAATTTTCAAAATCTTGGAGGAAATAATTTCTAGAAAACATTATTTCACTATACTTTATACCGGGGTGGGCTGCTGGGGGTTCGCAGGGGTTCAGGAGAATCTCTAGCTAAGATTCTGTGCAGTTCAGAGAACCCCCAAATCCCACTCCTGGCTGGCCCCATCCACCCCGCCCCTCCCCTCCCAGGAGTCCCCACGCAGCCTGTTTTGGATGCAGGTAAGTGCAGGGCAAGCATGGAGACTTAGAGAGGGCGAAAAACGGGCCTACCGGAAGTTTGGGAAACGGGGCCATTTCTGGCCTCCAGAGGGCCTCCAGACCCTGGGAAGGCCATTTTTGCGTTTCCAGAGGCTCAAGGAAAGCCTCTGGAGCCCGGGGAGGGCAAAAACATCCCTATGCCATGATGCAGGATGTCGACTAGGCCACGCCCACCATGGCCACCCCCACCCAGCAACTGGGCAGAGAACCCCTGGCTAAAATTTTGGAAGCCCATCCCTGTTTTACACCCATGTGGAAGTCTGTTCCAAGGCAGAGTAAAGTACCTCTTGTTTCCAAAGTAGTTTTCTTTTTTATTTAAGATTTCACATTACATTTGGATTAGTTCCTTTTATGAATTTTGCATATATACTATTTTAAAATTTATTCTCTGTGAAATGTATTTAGTAAAATACAATCAGAAATAGTAAAATAGTATTTTCTCTTTCTATAAAATTGCAGTTGAAAAATATTGTGCATACATCTGTATATCTCTCTTGCTAATATTTTTAATATTAATATTTCAAAACTAATGTTTTAATTGTGATTGTTTTCATTTCTTTTTAGATTATACGTTCTAAAGAATTTAAATATTATGACTATGGTTATAAGAACATAGAAGTATACAATATGGTAAGAAAAAGTAGATGGTGATAGGAATTTGACATTTTTTTAAAAAATTCCTAATTAAATAGTGTTAATCAACAGCTATACATATTTCCAAACTAAAAATGCAAAATTAGGTAAAATTATATAAGTTTATATATGAACACATGTAGATTTTTGTATTCTTTCATTTTGTGTGGCGGAGGAGTAATTATCCATCTTTCTGACAATATTATCTTCTCCTCACAGAGGACACTTGTAACCCCAAGGTGGAGCTTCAAGTAAGCAGAGTCCAAATTCTCACTTTGACCATACAATTTCTCTCGGTCTGCTCTTCTTTCCTGTATTGCAAAGCCAGTGAAAACTTTGTTCTTCCCTGCCCTTATTTGGATTCAAGAAGACCTATTGAGTATTTAAGTGGCAGTAACATAACACAGTAAATGTGGATGCCTCATATCACCATAGAACTGGAGGACGACAACAAACCCATAGCAAAAGCAATCCATGAACAAAAAATATGGTGGTAACCAGGGGAGGGCTGCTGTAGGTTTGCAGGGGTTCGGAAAAACCTCTAGGTAAGATTCTGTACAGTTCAGAGAACCCCCAAATCCCACTCCTGGCTGGCCCCGCCCCCACCCTCCCAGGAGTCCCCACGTGGCCCGTTTTGGATGTAGGTAGAGTGCAGGGCACACACGGAGGCTCGGGAAGGGCAAAAAAATGGACCTACTGGAAGTTTGGGAAGGCCAGAAATGAGCCTGTTTCCACCTCCAAAGGGCCTCTGGAGCCTGGGGAGGCCATTTTTGCCCTCCCAGAGGCTCGACAAAAGCCTCCGGAGCCTGAGGAGGGCAAAAATGCTCCCCCCACCGTGGTGCAGGAGACCGACTAGGCCACACCCACCATGGCCATGCTCACCCAGCAACCGGGCAGAGAACCCCTTGCTAAAATTTTTGAAGGCCACCCCTGGTGGTAACTCCATTTTCCACCCACCAGTGGGTCTTCCTGGCTACTTCTCCTTAACTACAGTACAGGAAGAGAAAGCATGTTACTTCTGTCCAGATTTCAGGCCTATGGATGAACTGATATCCAACAGAACTAAAAGCAAAGGAAGCATAAGGCCCATAACAGTAGATCCAGTTGTAACCTTGCCACAAAACTAATGGTGCATTTCTAGAGAAAGATTATATGATCTCTTGTTGAATTGCATACTCCAAATACCTTCAAGGGTTTAATGGGGAGGTAGCCTAAATCTAACACAGAGGTCATATCATAAGTACCCACCCCACCCCACAGCTGGTGAATAGGGCAGGTGTGGGCTCAGAAACAGACATTCTCTGCTATAACTCTCCTCTCTTGGACCTTCTTCTCCGAGCCCAAAGATGGCTCCATTGTTGGCAAAAGATTTGGAAAACTGTTAAAATGCAGCTTTTCTGAATAACTGGCAGGGACAAAGGAACAGTGTTGAATGATTCACAAAGTATTTTTTTCCAGGTAAAGTGAGAATTGTACTTCCATTACCGTTGTAGTATATTTATTTTGAATTATCTAGATTGTTAAGATAAGCTCTTGATAATCAATCAACCTCACACAAAACAATGATGCCATGTTTCTCTACAAAAAACTTCAGATCTTCTCTTGTAAATAAATTTTCCAGTCTAGTTAAACTTCAGTATCCTGAAAGAGCCCCTGACATTTTCCATGGCTTAATACTAACATAACATTTAGCAATAGCAATAGCAATAGCACTTAGACTTACAGTATATACCACTTTACAGTGCTTTACAGCCTTCTCTAAGCGGTTTACAGAGTCAGCATGTTGCCCCCAACAATCTGGGTCCTCATTTTACCCACCTCAGAAAGATGGAAAGCTGAGTCAACCTTGAGCCTGGCAGTCAGCAGAAGTAGCCTGCACTAATGCACTCTAACCACTGCGCCATCATGGCTCATTTACTGTCTTGGTTGATGATCCCTCAGTACTTGTTCCTGTCAGATGGTGATGTCTTAATGTTAGATTAGTTCTCCCTAAAGCTCTGAAATCAAGATACCATTATCTGACTGCAAGACTATAGAAGGCAGAGACAGAAAGCTTTTAGTTTTAATAGTTATTAAGCAAAACAAGTAGTTGCCTTCTCTTGGTGGCCTCCACCTTTCTGGATGCCACTAGGTCACCTATTTGTCACAGTCCTATTTGATTCTGGCATATGCCTACACTATTGACCAGCTGTCAAAATTCCATGAATCCACTAGGCCAGGGGCGTCAAACTCGATTTCATTTAGGGCTGCATCAGGGTTGTGTTTGATCTCGGGGCCGGGATGGGCATGGCCAGGTTGGGAGTATCCAGCTTGACATCACTCCTCTTGAGGGCGCCTGTTCTGGCCCAAGCACTCTGCCAGCTAAAATGGCCTCTCAAACACTGTTTTCGGCTGCCACGGCCTCCTTCAACCCTCTGCCAGTGAAAACTCTGAGGAATGCAGGAGGCTGTAGCAGCCAAAAACAGAGCCCGGGAGCCCATTTTAGCTGGCAGAAGCACCCCGGGCCGGTCCTTCGCTGTTTCCAGAGTGGCCCTGTGGGCCAGACCTAAGTACCCCATGGGCTGAGAGAAAGTTAGTGGCACAAGGTCACTTTCTAGCTGGCTTTGTGCCTAAGGTGGAACTAAAACTCATAGTTTCCTGATATCTAGCCTGATGCCTTAACCACTACTGCATGCGGACCTCCCAAGCTCCATTTTCACTGGCAGAGGGTTGCTGGAAGCCGCGGCAGCTGAAAATGGAGCTTGGGTGCCCATTTTAGCTGGCACCGTGGGCCAGTCCTTCACTGTTTCCAGTGTGGCCCCATGGGCCAGAACTAAGTACCTTGCAAGCCGGATCCAGGCCCCGGGTTTGACACTTCTACACTAAGCAGTTTCTGTGCACAGTGCGCATAATTCCCAAATTACATTCCTTTCTTTCTCTTCTTTCAATCCACAGACAACACCTCCGTTTTATAAAATAGAAGATGTTACTGTGCCAGTAGCCGTGTGGAGTGGAGGAAAAGATTTTCCTATAAGCGCTCGTAATATAGAATCATTGCTTCCTCGAATCCCTCATTTAGTTTTCTATAAGAATATTCCTGACTGGGAACATTTTGATGCAGTCTTGGGTTTGGATGCTCCACAACGTTTCTATCCCGATGTGCTTGAATTGATGCAGAAGTACAAGGATTAATATCAGGGTTGGAGTCTCTGGTAAAACAAAAACAACAACATCTCAGATGTCTATGGTGATTCTCAGTTTTCCAGTTCATGGTTCATCTTTGGAACATCTCAGCCATTTGCCCATTTCTTGAAATCTTAGAATCCATCTTCTTAAATTAAATGATGGCTTATTTTACAGAAATCCATATAAATCAAAGTTTCTTCAGAGAGTTAGCTGATATATTATCAAAATTCATCTTCGTACATATAGACCGTTATTCCACAGAACCTTTGAAGAAGTTTCGGATTAGATCTGACTTTTCCCCCAAAATAATTTGTAATCAAAGTGACTGAGCCCAAGTATCACCTCTAGGAAAATAGTTTTACAGCCTAAGTTTCTTTTCTTTCATTATTCTAATTAAATTGAGCAGTTTAAGCATTGATAATAACTGTAAGAAGGATGTTTTAGCCTCCTTTACTGTGTTTACTACTTTACTGAAACAAATTCAGATAAGGCTTAATCTAATTTTTGTCTAGGAATGTTTTTGCTATATTAACCCACAGATCTTCTTATAGTTGTTCCAAGTTCCACCATTTCTCCAGCGTTTGCATTCTAATTACCATGTACCCTTGATTGAAATTGTATTTGCAGTTTGTCATTAATTTCTCAATGCTGTCTATCCCTGCTTCCTAGAACTGCATACACTTGTATATCAGTGATATTGACTGTATATACTGGACTTTTTTTCTGTTTAATTGTGTTTGATTCTCATAAGACCAGGGGTGTCAAACTTGTGGCCCACAGGCCAGATGCGTCACATGCTGGCCATGCCCACCCCTATTCCAACAAAGGAGGGGAAAGTCACACTACGTCATGTGACGACAACATGACAACGCGAGATTGACACCCCTGTCATAGACTGCCAGGACTGCAATTTTCTTGGCAATATTTTTCATAAATGATTTCCATTGTCTCCTTATTGAAGAGCTGAGAGAAAGTGAGTGGCACAAGGTCATTTTCTAGCTGGCTTTGGGCCTAAGGTGGAACTAGAACTCATAGTTTCCTGATTTCTAGCCTGATGCCTTAACCTCTACCGCAAACTGGTTCTCATACATGAAGAGAGGCAGTCATTAATTAGATGATGCCTGAGCACTTACTCAGCAATGCTTCTTTTGAATATAGTTTCCATCAAAAGGACTCATGTTCAGAATAATCATATATTTCTTTCAGCATTGGGACTGATTACTGTGGTAATATCAAGGCAGTCTTTTTAGATAATACAGGAACTTAAATTACATTGCTCCCCTTGTGTATCAAACAAGTGAAGTGAATAATAAGGATATAATAAATAATACTAGAATATGATATACTGGTTCTGTAACCATTAGGTTCCTGTAATACATATATGCCTTTGTATTTGTATCACATATATTATGCCTTTGTATTTGTATCTCCTGTAACAAACATATTCTGTTATTAAGCCTCTGTAATGTATCTGGTATTTGTCAAACATATGTCCCTGCCATTTGACCTGAACCCATATCAATCTTCTCCCTGTTTTTTCTTGTGCCATCTAAGAGCATGGTACGTATCTCCAAGGGATAATTTACACCTCAGTCCTAATTTATGTTTGATTTGGATAGACTCCTACTTTCCAGGGCCAGGGGGCCAAAGTGGCCAATTGAGTAAACAAAGAAATGCTCAAGATGACTAATTGGGAAGTTTCTATTCCCCCTTGCAGGGCAACAAGGAATACACAAACCTAAATTAGGAGGCCAGAATTGGGTACTAAGCTGACGTCTCTGAGGGTATAAAAGGACGCCATACCTTCCCCAAGGTGTGGCTATCTCCTCGCATGCATTGTATCTGTATCTTCTGGATATAGTTCCACCCAGTATTTTGTTTTTGGCCATAAATAAAATCTGGTTTTTTTGCAAGCCTCGTTTTGAGTCTCTCTCTTTGGCATTCTGGTGACTCAAGTGTATTTTGGGACCTTACACAAGGAAACTTATCCTAGCTGAACCAGTGGTGGGTTGCTACCGGTTCTACCCGGATCAGTGAACCGGTAGCGGCGGCGGCAGGAGGCTCCACCCACCCACATCAGATGCTTCTGGGCATGTGCAGAAATATCGCACACACAAGAGGGAACTGGTAATGACGTGTTTTGCAACCCATTACTGAGCTGAACATACCATAAAAAATAACTTTTGTATAAAGTATTTATAAAATATGCATTAAAAACAAAAAAAAAACATTATCTAGAAAAAAATTATAAATATCAGCTGAAATGGAGATGGAACAGGTGATTGGAACTTTACATGGCAGCAACAGAAGCTTAAAAGATTGCCGGAGACTATGTTTGTTTGTACTTTATGGTACAAGATTTGCAGCTATGAAAATTGCTAATTTTAACCATCACCTTGACAGTACAGCAAGTCCTGACTTAAGAAGAGGATATGGAACATTTTGGAATTAGCAGCTTTCTGGAACAAATTTGACCTCAGCCATCTCACTATACTCACTCTCTTTTATGCTCTGTGATTCCAAAAGACTTCAAGGAAAAGGGTAGCTTGGAGAAATGAAACTGCAATGAAGGGAAACTGAATACAGCATGGCTGTGGCCTCTGTAGATTTTCAGTAGGCATCAGAATGTAACATTAGGCCAAAAAGTCTTGCTATTTTAATTCAGAATTAGGGAATACAGATTATTTCCATACTGTAACATTTTTATTCCAAATATTTCTGGCAGACTAATATAGTTGCTGTAGTGCAACTTGTTTTCTAAACATCCATGCTAACTATTCAAGACCAAAAACTTGTCTGCCTCCTACCTTTCCAAAAATTCTTGCTGGTCTATTAAAAATCTTTGGTGTCTTCTAGATCAGGAGCTTGCCCTGATATTAATTCTACAAACATAGCCAACATCTGCTTTAAAAAGCATCTGCTTTAGGCAATGACTATCTTCTCTTTTTTTAGCCAGGATGTCCTATTGTTCACTGGGATAGCCCCAATAATATACTCCCAATGTACAGTCTGTTAGAATAGAGTAGAGTAGAGTAGAGTAGAGTAGAGTAGAGTAGAGTAGAGTAGAGTAGAGTAGAATAGAATAGAATAGAATAGAATAGAATAGAATAGAATAGAATATTTTTTATTGGCCAAGTGTGATTGGACCCACAAGGAATTTGTCTTTGGTGCATATGCTCTCAGTGTACATAAAAAGACAAGATACATTTGTCAAGAATCATAAAATACAATACTTAATGATAGTCATAGGGTACAAATAAACAATCAAATCATACTAGGAAACAAACAATATAAATCATAAGGATACAAGCAACAAAGTTAGTCAACTGAAATTTATTATCATCCCAGATAATCAACATATAATGAATAACCTTATCCAAAATGAGTATGCCTACATAATGTAAAACATACAAAGACTAAAAGAGAAAAGCATTCACGAATACAATGAATGCTCAATGAATGAGGAAAGGTGTGTGTGTGTGTGTATTTGGGATTGTGAGGCCTCTAAATTGCTATCTCCCCATGTAGCACTTGCAATAGTGTAGAATGTAGCTACTGTCTAGAGGTTTTGGCATGCTTGTTGCCAAAAAGGAAAATGAGTTCTTCTCGTCTGTCAGAAGAATAGACCCAACAGCAGGTGAAAACCTGCTTAACAAGAAAGGAGAGCATAATAACACATGTGAGACCTGTCTGTGAGAATGTCTGTCAAGCTAGTAGCGACATGTAAGTTCCTGAACTGTTGCTCTGTGTTGTTGAATCTCCCTTTCAGCAATGTTGAAGGCAAGCAATTGAACACCACCAGAGAGAAAGCTTGCTGGTTCTATAAGAACAAAATATTAGCAAACATTAAGAGTTATCGAATCTTCAATACTTTTGAAGACCAGGTCACATAGTTAGAATTCCAAATTGGCTAGTAGCCTGCTAGAAGCAGATAGCAGGCTATTAGATGACTATCTATATTAGCAGACTATCTAAAGATTTGCCCCAATGGGGGGTTTCAAACTTTTTTACTACCGGTTCTGTGGGTATGGCTTGGTGGGCATGGCAGGACAAGGATGCTGTAAAATCTCCATTCCCTCTCAACTCCAGGGGAAGGATTCTGCAAAATCCCCATTTCCTCCCGATCAGCTGGGACTTGGGAGGCAGAGAATAGATGGGGGTGGGGCCAGTCAGAGGTGATATTTACCAGTTCTCCGAACTACTCAAAATTTCTGCTACCAGTTCTCCAGAACTGGTCAGAACCTGCTGAAACGCACCTCTGATTGGCCCCCTTCCTCAATGGAGGAAGCCTCTCAAAACTAATCCTTAGTGATCTCCCAGAAAAGTCATTTTGAGATGACCATCTTACTTTGTAACCTTCATCAGTGTAATTTCCAATTAAGAACAAGATAATCATTTTAAGCAAAAAGAGTTAATGTCATTATATATTGTGATTAAATTAAAAATGTCTCCTTCATTGGTAAAAATATATTTCTCTGGATTATTTCTGAAAAATGGTTTTCTATAAAATGTTAATGGCTCCAGCAGCAGATTATCATTGCTTTCATTGACCACACCTTGCTGGGGGTGGAGGTGGAGTTGCAGTTCAGATTTGCACACCTGTTCCTTCCTGATGTCCTTGAGTGAACATCAGCTGGCATGTTTAAATGGTTTTATATAGGACTTGCTACTCCCTTTTATGTCTCTTAGATTTATGCCTCTCTGTGAGAAACAATCACCTCTTAGAATGTCTGACTGTTTTAATACTTGCCTAGTTGTTTCCATTGCAAGAAATGTCAATAATCCCACAAATTGCTCAGAGGGTGGATTATGTACCGTCTCTTCTTGCTATTCAGTGAAATCTTTTTCCTTCTCCCATTCACATAACTGATATCATTCACAATTTTTTTTCTTTATTCATCTTTCCTATTCTTGGACAGGAAACAACTATGGAGACAGTCCTTCAGGGCTCCTGGATTTCATCTGACTTTTTGTCTCAAGTGTATGGAAGGGCAGATTAGCACTAAACTCTGTTTAGCAATATTGCAGGCATTTGGATTGCCCTGGTTCTCTACCATTTGAGTCTTTCCCCATCATCAGCACAGCAGAGTTGCCAATAAAGCTGCAGCCTTGACACAGGTGTTGTAGGAGACAGGTGTCTTGGAGTTTTTTAGCCACTAGCAAACAGAGTACAGTAGCCAAACATCCTTTTGAAGGCATCCAAAAAAGATGAAAAGAAAGTATAGCTGCACAGGAAGGCAAAGCACAATGTAAAAAAGGTACAAATACTTTACAAGCTGGTCTTTAGCAGAAGGCCAACAGTCCAGGGTGCAATTATTTATGACCATTTATAGGAAGATATAAAGGACCCTATTCAGGATGCAGTGCTTTTGGGTCTGTCTTGAATTTGGGTCTGTCTAATTGGGTATAAGTTGTTTTTTTTTTTTTAATTGACAATGTGCTAGGCTCTTCCTTGACTTTATAACTTCTCAGGGGATTTGTCTGCCCCTAAGATGCTGACAGCATATATAGCACCATTAGGAATCAGAAAGTTTTATACCATTTCTTCTCACCGTGGCTTATGGGTGCATTGAGAAAGGATGTGTTACCCTGAATTGGTTTGTGAGTACTTTCATAAAGATTGTTACAATACTAGAGCTGGGTGAAATAAAAGTTAGCCTTCTGCATACTAATAACGTCTCAGGTTTCTTTGTCATGGAAGGCTTAGGGGAGAAGGCTCCTAACATAGAGCAGTCTTGAAAAAAGTGAAGGGAAGAGGGTGCTGATTTATTCTCCATAGCATCTGAAAGCAGGATTTTTCAGAGGGAGATCCAACCTGGAAATAAGGATGAATTTCCTGGCAGTGAGAATGCTTTGTTGTTGTTAGTTGCAAAGTCCTGTCCGACCCATCGCGACCCTATGGACAACGTTCCTCCAAGCCTTCCTGTCCTCTACCATCCTCCAGAGTCCATTTAGGGTCACGCCTACTGCTTCAGTGACTCCATCCAGCCACATTGTTCTCTGTCATCCCCTTCTTCTTTTGCCCTCAATCATTCCCAGCATTAGGTTCTTCTCCAGTGAGTCCTTCCTTCTCATTAAGTGGCCAAAGTATTTGAGTTTCATCTTCAGGATCTGGCCTTCTAAAGAGCAGTCGGGGTTGATCTTCTCTAGGACTGACCGGTTTGATCG